AAACTCCCGACCCGTCAGGGCGGCAGTGTAGTGGCGGCGATGACACGGCGGTGAGTGGCGGAGACGGGCCGCCGGACTGCATAGCTGGGAGGTTAAGGACCAAAAATGTGCAAAACATGCTCGGAACGATCTGATTTCGGAAATCGGTAGATTTGAACCTCCTCTTTCAGATTTGAGTTGTAGCCAAACCAGGAAACCGCGGGAACCCACTCAAAAAGCGGGTTGCATATTTGCCGGGGGCACCGCCGCTTTTGCTATTAAAATCCATTATAAATCCGAAACTAGACGACGCAGCGTCGTGGTAGAAACGTCGGGGCGTCTAGGAGACATAGAGGAGTAAGTTCGCGTTGGTTTCAGCCCTCTGACATCAAAACTCCGACGTACAGGATCGATTAACTGATTGGGCATTAACGTCAAAAATAAGAAATTCGCAATTTACTCGAAAACTTTCAGGTTCAATATATGAGTTATTGGGCACCAATGGATGCACCCTTTCCTCAGCTATCACGTGAGCACTTAAAAAAGTGGGGTCGTCGCTTTGGATTTCGAACGGCAGCGCTTTGAACGCCGCGTGGCGGGGAGCGCACGGCCCCGCCGGGCCGTACCGCGAGTTGCCTACCCGACACCCCCGTAAGGCGCCATGTTAAACTCGTCCCTCGATAACTCTTTCCCTAATGGATAAAAAACGTGCCTATGCGGGTACAAACCTTTCTTTAAGCCTCGACTAGCCCCGTGCCGAGTGGCATTGCAAAAGAGACATTTGCACATTCATTTCACTTATACCGGCCAATATGGACCAGGAGCGAGCACGACACAGTTCGTACAGCAAATCTTCCGTTTGTAAAGCCACTCGGCACGGGGCTAGTCGAGGCTTAAAGAAAGGTTTGTAACCGCATAGGCACGTTTTTTATCCATTAGGGAAAGAGTTATCGAGGGACGAGTTTAACATGGCGCCTTACGGGGGTGTCGGGTAGGCAACTCGCGGTACGGCCCGGCGGGGCCGTGCGCTCCCCGCCACGCGGCGTTCAAAGCGCTGCCGTTCGAAATCCAAAGCGACGACCCCACTTTTTTAAGTGCTCACGTGATAGCTGAGGAAAGGGTGCATCTATTGGTGCCCAATAACTCATACATTGAACCTGAAAGTTTTCGAGTAAATTGCGAATTTCTTATTTTTGACGTTAATGCCCAATCAGTTAATCGATCCTGTACGTCGGAGTTTTGATGTCAGAGGGCTGAAACCAACGCGAACTTACTCCTCTATGTCTCCTAGACGCCCCGACGTTTCTACCACGACGCTGCGTCGTCTAGTTTCGGATTTATAATGGATTTTAATAGCAAAAGCGGCGGTGCCCCCGGCAAATATGCAACCCGCTTTTTGAGTGGGTTCCCGCGGTTTCCTGGTTTGGCTACAACTCAAATCTGAAAGAGGAGGTTCAAATCTACCGATTTCCGAAATCAGATCGTTCCGAGCATGTTTTGCACATTTAGCATTTTTTATGGCGCTTAACCACCCAGCTAGCAAGGCAGACGCACCGGACTTGGCGGCCTGGCCGGCCTAGGGACCCGGCCGGCCCGACCTTGGTCAGCATCTTGAGAAAGGGAAACCGCTCCTCCACGCCACTGCAGCCAGTCTAGCGTGGCCGTCCGGCCCGGCCCGTCCTGCCGCGGCAGTGCCCCGCCAGTGCCCCGCCAGTGCCCCGCCAGACCAGTCAGGCAGCTCCCGGGCAGCCCGACACAAATCACCAAATGCAGCCCGAAACGCGCCCGCGGACCACCGCCGCGTCGGCTGCGAGGGGACGGGGCTGGCCGCGCTGGCGGGGCTGGCAGCGTGCGTCGCCGCGGTCGATGAACGTTCCGCGAGGACCGCCCCGCGCCGCCCCGCGCCGCGGCAGCCGCGGACGGGGAGGGGCGAATCTATTCCGAGAGACAATCGCGCGCGACACCGCAAACACCCCGCGGACAAAGTATCGGCGTCGACGCCGCCGCCGCCGTCGTCGACACCTCGACGAACACTCCGACCGCGCGCCCACATCGTCCAGGCTGTCGTCCAGGACGCCACAGGTCCAGGACGACGGGCTGCTCCGCCTCGCCTGGCCGCCCCCGTGGCGCGGCACGTCGCGGCCGTGGCGAGGCGCGGCCACGCGGCGGCAACCTCACCTTGAGCCTTGAACCTCGTATGAAGGCATTGAAACGAAACGACTTTCTGCCAGCGGCCCGGCAGAGCGCCGCCGCGCCGCGCCACGCCGCGCCACGCCCGCAGCCAGCGCCAGCCAAAGCACTGCGCGCCGCGGCGGCGCCCCGACCTAGCCCAACGCGGCGCAAGTGCAGTCCCGGCCCGACCGCTCGCGCGCCGCGCCGCCGCTGCAACCCCTTCCAGTGTGTCTGCCCCGCGACCGCAGCGACTCCAGCGGGCCGCGACCCGCGCCACCGAAACAGAAAAATTAGCCCACCACATCCTGGCGATCGAACTGCGGTGTATCAGCGGGGCGTCACAGTCCTCGGCCACCGAATTGGGGTGCCGGGCGGCGCACTGTGGCGGCGCACGCGGCCCACCTGTCGACCGGACATTATAACGTCGTTACAGGCGCCCCCGCACTGCGGGGCTGCATGCCGCACTTCCTGGCCAACGCCACAAAGGACGGCCCCAGGATGCACCGACTGCCACGCACCGCCATCTGCCGACGGCGACCCTCCCCCACCCCCACCCCGGCCAGGCCAGGCCGGCGCAAAGAAGACGGCGATTACGAGGAACACCAGCGAAACGAGTGAAACGGGCCGCCGGGCTGCGCCGGGCCCGGAACATCAATCGAACCGACCCGGACGGACAGCCTTCGTCGCTTTGTCTCTCTCGCACTCATGGGGCGGCCCGGGGGAGTGCACTGTTCGGCCAGCAGGACAGCACCCACGCCACAGGATACGACTCCCTCGACAGGCACCCCTTCATTACGCCCCGAGCGACACCCCACACGTTTCACTTAAAGGCCCAGGATTACGCCAGATACAGTGTGTCGCCGCCAAGGACTGCCGCCATCGTGGTCCTCGGGGCGTAAGAGGATTACAGGGTCGCCGTGCACCGGCGGCGTGCACTCGTGGACGGCGAGCACGTGAGCAGACGCATCAAAACAATATCATGGGCTTATCGCAGTGTCAGGTAGCAGAAGACGCTGGCCTGGCGGTGGCCTGGCGCACGAGGCGGTGTCAGCCGCGGGTTTATGGAGATAGGGCGAGCAGGCCGAGCCGGAGGAAGTTGTTGTCACGTACGTGCGTCAAGAAACTACGCCCCCACGCCCCCTGCCACTATTCGGCGCACGTTTCCTGTACGCGCCGCCGATGGGCAGCCCGGCTTGCGGCCAGGCGGCCGGAGGGCCGCGCCAGGACGAAGGACTCCGCCAAGCACCATTTGGCACGGCAGGTCCTGGAAAACAGTTCACACGAGACGCCGGCCGGCGAGCCGGGTCGGGGCAGGGGCCAGTCACCTCATAACCCAAAACGAAAAATTCGACGCCGAGGTTAGCCCGGCCCCGAGTTATACGGTTCGGTTTGGAACCCCCAACTTGGACTCGACATCTGCTGGTCTGGTCTACAGCCTCTTTGTTGCAGTATTTTCTTCTTTTTCGTCTGTGCGGCGGCAGCCTGGCCCAGCCTGCCCGGGTCCCGCCCGACCATCTACCCGTCGCTGCCTGCCTGACTGCCTGCCTGCCCGGCCGCCCGCTCGCTTGCCTGCCTGCTCGCCCTGCCTCTGCCCGGCTCGGCTGAGTTTGCCTCGACTCGGCTGCGCTCGGCTCGTCTCAGGTTCGTTTTAGAGGGGTTTCCGGTGAGAAGTCGGCTAGAGGACAGGAGGATGCCGACCGCCAGCAGCTGCCCCTGCGAGCCATGCGGAGCCATGCCCGAGGCCCCCTCCCCGCCGCCAGGGGGCGTACGTCGTACTCGACATAAGATTCGTGACGTCACGCCGCCGACACAGATAAGGGACCAAAGTGTGACACCGGCGCGGCGACGTTGTGACGCGGCGCGGAGCGCGCGGAGCGGCCGCCAGTCCCATGGCCGACAGCGATTCTCAGAAGTGAAGTAAAGCTAGCCGCCCGGCCGGCCGGCCGGCGCGGTGCGGGGCGCGGGGCCGGCCGGTGCGTGGCCGGCGTGGTCGCTGCATCCCAGGCCCCATGCGGCACCGAGGCTAGCCGACGCCTCGGCTCGGGCTGCGCCGCTGCGCCTCCCTGGCACGGCAGGCACACCGCGAGAGGGACAAGACACAACAGGCCGGCAGGCTGGCCGATTCCAGGAACTTCAACAACCGCGGCGCCCGATATTCGGCAACCGAGGTGGCGGGGCGCGGGCGTAACGCGCCAAGCCGAGCCCGGCCGCCGTCACGCGCCGTCACGCCGAGACTGTCACACCCCTGGGGCGCACTGTCGTGACAGTCACCAAGTCGAAACGTTCGCAAGGCGCTCTACAGGCCGGCGGGGAGAACGTGACGCGCCACCGGCTAAAATTCGGAGAAAACGGTGGAAACTTCCAGACTTTACGAGCGGCGCAGGGAGACGGGCAGGGAAGACAGGCCCCCGGCATGTCACGGCCCTACGCGCTACGCGCAAGCCCCGCAAGGGCCCCGCATCACATCCAAAATGTCACTTGGCTCTTTCGGCCGGCGGACGACAGCCAGCCCCGACAGCCGCAGACGCCAAACGATGCCGGCGCTGCCGTAAACAAAAGTCCAGTGTCGCGAAAACAACTCCGGTGTCTGCGACGCCACGACAAACCGCGACACCGGCAGGCCCGGTAGGGGGCAAGGGATGGGGCACGGCGGCGGGGGCGCACAGGTTCACACTAGTCCAATCGATAGGGAATCACTTTGCACTATCACTCAATCACTAGTCACTGTCCTGAGGTGCACTGCTTCTTGACACTCGCGGGCGCACGTCGGCGAACACCACTTGAGTCCATGACAAGGCCCCCCGAGGGGCCCGAGGGGCCGACATTGCCGACAAGTTGGCGAAACTTACCTTGTCGACCGACAATTTCGGCGACGTGCTCCGAGCTGGGCACAGGCACGCACTCCGTCATATTCTGACTCTTCTTGCTTCGAGTCTCCTCGGGGAAAGCCGTTGGGATGATCACTTGATCCAGGCTGTCCGAAACACTGTTGATGTTGTGGTGATCGCTGGCGAGGTTGAGGCGCGACAGCTCGAACGCCAAGTGCAGAGCACGCTGGTCCTCCAGCGCTCCGCTCACGGGCCGATCCATGTCGAACAGACTGCTCGCGGGCATCACAGGAGGTTTAATTCCAAGTTTGTCGAAATAAATAAAAACGCACACGGCACACCACTGTCGTGGGACTGGCAATGATTCCCCGGTAATAAAACGATCACTGTATAAAAATAAAAGCTCTTGTGACTACGCGGCGAAGTGTTCGGTCGGCTCGCTGCCGAAGCAATGTGGACTGGGCGGGCGGCTCCTCGTATTTTGGCCCGGCTCGGCTCGCTGGCCGCATGGGTCCTCGCTCGTCTCGCCGGCGGGACGGTGTCGGGACCGAGTCGGGATCCAAACGGAGCCGAACGTCGCCGAGCGCCTTCGCGCGCAGCGGCAGATTTGAATGACGGCCTCCCATTGGCCGGCGGCCGGCACCGCGGCGTGGCGACTCGGCGCGCCATTGGCCGCGCCTTCGGCAGGACTTCGGGCGGCGCCGAGCGCGCGGCGAGCGGGGGGAACGGGGGGAGGGCGGCGCGGCGGATCGGTAGCGGCGGGGGAGCGGGGGAAGGGGAGGGGAGGGGCTGCTACCCCTGCTGACGCTGTGCGGGGTAGCCGGCGCAGCGCACCGCAGCGCAGGAGGAGGGGAGAGGCTAAAATTGCCGAGAGGAGAGGAGGTACCCTCCGCCGCGCCGCGCTGCACGTGCTCACTGTACTCGTGTAGTGCTAGGCCATGATGCTCGGCGCGGCCGTGGTACTCGTCTACTCGGTACGCGACGCGACCTAGGCCAAGGCGCTGGCCGGCCTACCCGACCTGCCCGGCCGGCCTCTCTTAGCCTCTCTGGCCCGCCGAAGCAGTGGCCTTTCGCGGCCAGCCCGGAACTCGACTTGAGCCCCACACTGTAACTGTAAAGCGACGCAGCCGGACGTGCTGCCGTATCGCAGTGTGTCGTCACAGCATTGCCAGCATTGATAGGACTCGATAAGGCACCTCTCAAGGGCACACTGCCAAGTACCTGGACCAGAACTCCGTTCTGCGCGGTCCGAAACTGGGTCACACTCGCAGGAGCCCGGCGGCACCCTTCGGACCACGATAACGCGGTGCACGCCAACGCCGTTCATTTCCTTCAGCAGACCCTTCTCTTCCACTAACGCTGAAAATGGTGCCAGTTGCACTTTGCACAGTCTCGAATTAAATTTGGCATTCGTCATCTGTCTATCTATACGACACTTCCTTCCTGCAGGACGAGATAGCACACTCGCCCAAAGGTCGCTCTTGCAAAATGATGATTACACCTCAAAGGGGCTCAGTGACGTGCCGCGCTGCGTAAATATAGTAAGTCTGGTCGATCGGGGCACATCGGGGCATGTCCTTATCTCATGCCGGCCCGCCGGCCGCACGCGCAGGACCACAGATATAAATAAGTCATCCCGTCGAAAGGTCGGAAGACTGTCGGAAGGAAGAAGAGAGGCGCGGGTTGAGCCCTTCGGCACCTTCGGCCCTCACGCTCGTCAGCGGCGTTTTTAGCAGTGTGTGCGACAAGGACTAAAGGACTCTATCGAAAGAGCGGAAAGGGGCCGTTTTACATCAGAATAGTGAAAAGGACCGCTGCACGAGCGTCGCGTCGCTCCTGTTAAATCCTTTGATTAAAGCTCCTAAAAATTTATGGTCCTTGCGAGAGGGAGAGAGAAGACGGAGAGGGAGACGGGGCGAGCACGTGCTGCAGCGGGGCGAGCGGGGCCCGCACAAAAGCCCAGGGCATGTGCAGCACACTGCAGGCTGCAGCAGGCGGCCAGGGCATGCCAGGGCCAGGTCCCTGGGCCAGGTCGGCCGGCCCTTTGGGGCTGCGTCCCAGGCGGCCCGCGTCCCCCGCGCGGCACCGTGCTGCAGGCCCAGGGACGCCGCACATGGACGCCCCGGACGCAGCCCTGGCGAACGGACAGCCAGGCGGCCAACAAAGAAGACACGCTGCAGCAGCTGCCGTGGCCCGGACCGCCCCGGACCCACCGCAGCACCGCCGTGCCAGCGCGCAGCCAGCGCGCAGCCAGCCCAGTCTTTATCCTCCCGATCCTGCTGCCTGTTGAAAGACTGAGAGACAGGGTCTTCAGGGCCGTCAGGGGCGGATCCAGGGTCCTGGGGCCCGGCGGGGGTTGAATGTCGAGGTGCTGCAATGTCGCGAGTGTCCGCCCTGAGGCTCAACGAGGCCCTCCCGCTGGCGCGTGAGCGCGTGCGAGTTCGCCACGGCCCGGAGGATAGGCAACCCAGCCTGCGCGCACGCCGCGTCGCTGCCTACCTCAACGGCGTCCTCGTGGAGGCACTGCAGGGGTTGGCAGTTCACAGCGGGCGAAACACAGATTGTCCACACTGAAGAGCGGATGAGTTTTTAATTTTTTGCCAGAGCGTCGGAGGGAAATGAAAGAAAATCCTCCCGATTAAAGCCTCCCCGGCCCGCCGGCCTTCCCATCGAGGCGTGTGATGACGTGGCGGGGTGGTGCATGCAGGCCAGGCAGGCCAGGCAGGGCATTCAGGGTGTAGGCACCGTGCACGCGGGGTGGCGCGGCGCGGCGTCGCAGGGGTGGTGCGTGTGAAACCGAAAGGTGAGTCGCACCCCGCCACCGGGCCCATTCCGAACAGCGCCCTCGTCGCCCCGTCTCTCTCGCACTCACGAGGCGACCCGTAGGACCCGTAGGGTGCGAGAGAGACGGGGCGACAAAGCACTCTCCGGAATCGGCCTGCTGGTCCCGCCCCTTCCCTTCCCGCGCGGCGGCAGCGGCACGGCGGCCCGCTCCGCGTCCGGTCTCCTTGCCCCGCGCCGCCTCGCGGCCCCGCGGTGCGGCGTGGCACCCTTCCTTGGCCTCCTCCCCGCGTCCTCCGCTCCTCCGTCCGCATTGCCGCATTACGGAGGGGTGTGACCCAAGACGCGGCCGGCACAGCCCGACACCTGGCCGGGTCATGGTCCTGGTGTCCCCGAGGGTGTCCCGGGCACTCTTGGGCACCGCGCGGCACCGCGGGCCTGGAGTTGGAGTGCCTGGACCAGCACCCCATGCCGGGCAAGGCGGGCAAGGCGGCCGGATCGGAAAGCGAATCCTCATCCCTCTCAGCGCCCAGCTCGCCCAGCTCGTCGACAAAGGGCCGGGGCCGGCCGGGGCCGTTCCCTCGCGTCGCGGTACGACGGGGTCGTGTACGGGACGGGGACACGGGGACGGCCAGCAGCCCTAGACCCATTTTCCCATTCTCGAAGCCCTCAAGCCTCGAAGCTTCGCAGCGCGCATTGCGTTTTTCTTCCTGATCGGAAACATCAGCTTTGCGAACAAAAGGTGCGCAAGACGTATACCTGGGCCTTGCGGCCATGCCTTGCCTCGCCGCCTGGGCCGCCTGGGCCGCCTTGGCGTAGAAACGCGCGCTTTGCTCCGCCGCCAAGGCTGCCCTGGTTCGCTCTGCATGCAAGAAAACCGTCACACGGCACAAGGCACAATCGGGCATCCTTCGGGGCGGAGCCCGGCGGAGCGCGGAGCAGGGAACAGAAGCTGGGCCTCGCCCGCGGCCTCGCCTTGGACGAGACTCAGTGTCACATCCTGATTGGAAATGGGACTGTACTTCTTGGGCAAGCAGCGCAGGCAGCAGACACGACTAAGGGTCCTTAGTCGTGTGGTAGCAGCAGCACTGCCGTTTGCCGTTTCGAGAATGCCGCTTTTGTTTGGTCTTCGAGGGCAGTTTTCCCCAAGTCCTGGAAACCATCGTCCCCTCAATCTGGGCGTTTTTCGTTTCGGCCCTGGAATTTTTAGAAACGCATCTAACCGCATGGGGCACAGCCTAAAGACAAAACTATTTTTGCTTTCCAATTTAACTTTGGGACAGAAAGCGCAACGCGTTTTTAATATTTTCGCCATCTACTGTCCAGATAACTGGCGCCTTTCACAATCATCGTACAGTACACCGATGGTAAAGATCCTCGATTGGGAACGTTTTATTTTTGGTTCTCGTGCATACTCTGATATTGCTGTGATCATCTGCATGTCCCTCGAGATAGCTTGACAGGGGGTCGAGGGTCTTTTTTTTTTCACCGGTAGGGGTGCGGTGCTGTATGTATATGTGACATGGTGGGAGTCCAGGGTGGACGGGGTCGGAGGGTGACGGGGAACAAGAAGTCTGGCATGGCTACTTCTCGCCCTCTCCGATCACCTCCATAAATTGAAAATCAATTACGAGTGTAGGAAAAGGGAGGGGGAGGGGTCGTTGCGTGCCGAACGGGTGGCCTAGCTCCCCGGCGCCAGCGCCGTGTCTGGCCGTGCCACGCCGTGCCTCACTGTCTCACTCACACTCAAACAAGTCTCGTGTGGCCGTCGACTCACTCGTCATCAAGTAGACTGAGTCATTATTTCGGCTGAACTGCACGAACACTGCTGACGAACACTCACGCTGGATTATTCTCTGTTTTTGCTTTTTTTTCTCGTTTCTCTTCAGAACCGGCCATTGGACTGGCCGCCCGACTGACGAGTTTGCTAAAATGTTTGGCAGCGGGTTCGACCCAAAACCCGCAAGAATTGTCCTTTATCGCAGTTGATACGATGCACGTTACTGAACTCGAATGTTCAAGCTAGACAACCTGACCATCTGCAGAATTCAACATTCCCTACATGCAGGCGGAGGGAATGACAAGGGACACTCCGTGGGGTCCAACGGGGTTGGGCAGGTGATACATCACCGATTTCGAAGAAATTTTCCAAGCACGTTGAGCAAGCTATAAGTTTTCTAAGACCAAATTTCAGCTCAAAATTACAATTGCCTTTGTTTTGAATGTCAACCTAAAATTTTGTAATTTGAAATTTTGATATCAGCTGCCTGATTACGTCTCACGCCACTGAGACAAAGTCAGTCGTGACCAGAAAAATCATAGTTCGTTCTGGTTCAGTTGCTGTTGGTCCTACAGATAATAGTGCGCCTCTCGCTTTGCAAGAAATCGATTTTGGAAATTGGTGTGTCGGCATTTCTCGCCTGCACTGCCTGTCCACAGCTCCTGGGAGTGGGCACAACATTAGTGTTATCCGATTGTTAAGTGTATTTACTCAAGCCTTTGGTGTGGAACGCTGGTTCGATAAGAGACCAGCATTAAATTTTCTCTTTTTTTCTGCAACTGGACTTGAGAAGAGCCAATCCAGGCTCTCTAGGCTGGAGAACCGGCCCTGAAGTATGAGAAACTTTCTGAGGGGAATCCGAGAGGAGCTCGCGTGCGGAGTATCGCCAGCGTATGGTAGAGTGCAACGCCACCAGAGCGCAGCACAGGATGGGCCACCAGTCCCACTCTAAAGCTTCCGCTAAGCGGCCAGCAGACGATGTTTTTCCGCCGGGAATTGATTTCACTTTGTTAATTTGTTTTACAATACGGTGCTCTTTTTAAATAATTTCTCCCGCGGTAACCTTGTACGCTGAAAAGAAACTAATTGGAGAAGTGTATCTCATGCTTATTTCACTGCTTGTTCAATGACAGGCAGAGCAAAGGTTTTGAAACCTTATTGCTGCTGCTAGTAATGTAAATTAGTAGCAGAAGGGAATTCGCACCATGGCAATTTTGAGCCCATCCACTTTTCATGCGCTCCCTTCCTGATTATTCTCTATCACGTTTGGCAGCCTCAGCATGCTGATAATTCGTGGGAGGTTTCAAAGGGTTCAAAGTCCACGGCTTTGAGGTTCTTATTAACACGTTTCTTGAATGGCTCGGACACTCAAGCCATAGTAGTGTTGACATAGCGCATAGCCTCACCGGCCTCACCGACGCTGCAGCAGAGGCAAACGCACACCACAATGGAGGATCTTTTTTGCCAATATAAGACTCTCTGTAAGAGTATAAGGGTATCATTCAAAAACTGTGGTTATAATTTGAGGTGAGATGTCATGTTTCAATCACATGAAATTACATGTCGTTCACTTGCATTTTTTATCGCCTAAGAACATTGTATTGTTTTGTGTTTCATTTTTCTAGGCCAAGAGCAGAAGCAGGATTGTGGGTTGTGCCACTTATTCCTACAGCCCTGCTAGTGAGCACACTAAAACAGATTTTCGCTGGAGGACAGGCATCGCTCTCTCATGTTTACTTTGCAACAACAGTCGTTAGTTGCGGTGTTCTAGTAACAACCATCCTGTATCTCATGAGATTTCTTCCAAAACTTGGTCATCGAATCCATAATGCCTACCTAGGGGTGCCTGCTGTCGGCACTCTTCTCTTTTTGCTTATCACTCAGAACGGTAAGCTAATCCTTTTCAAATACATCACAACAAAGTCCTTGCAAGAATTTTTTATCAAGGAAAGAAGTATTTACTCTAGAAAACATATACAACAAGTATCATGTCAAGCTTTGCTCTCAATGCGATTCCTTCCTTTAAATACAAAAGATAGTTTGTGGTGTGTCAATTCATTTCTTAAAAATAATTTGAATACAATAATAGTAGCAACTCAATCTTTCCAGTTTATAGCCACAACTTTCATGACTTTGAAAGAGAGAATACATGGTTTAGGAAAAGTTGTGGTCTGAGTAGAACAGCTCATATCTTAACAGGTGAGGAAATTTCGCGATTTTGCATTTATGAGTTAGTTTGTTTTTTGTTTAAACGCACTTTCAGAATCGCTTTGAAAGTAACTTTTTGTTCTAACACTGCTTGTGTACCCCATTTTCTATTAGAAAGTATACATAGCCCACATTTCTTCTAACAACGCTCTTCACTTTTAAAATAGTGTATTTGTCTTCTGTTTTGTTTTCTATGGTGTTTATATTATTTTTTATTCAGCATTTGTTTTTACATACATCTTATCCTTGTTTACTAATATTTTTGTCATTTCTCTTGCAGGTTTTATTTTAAGCATTCTTGGAGGAGTTATGAGTTCATATGGAGTTCTTGCTGGATTGCCAACACTTCTGACACTTGCTCCGTCATGCTTTACAATTGGAGAAGCAGTGGTTGTGGTCCACTGTTTAATTATTTTTGTGTACAGCTCGGCAGTGAATCTCTGCCACGTGGCATTTTCACACGTTCCACTGCTAGCAGAAATGGATATCTCTCAAGAGACCTCCTATGATATATCAACTGTTATTTTACAGGTATTTTTGCAGAATGGTTTCACTTCAACCCATTTCCCCAACTTTACTCCCTTCATAAAGGCAATTTTGCATCCACAGGTGGGCATGCTGAGTGTATTGCTCATGCTTGGAGTTTTAGTGGCATCCCCAGAGACACGAGAACCATACTTGTTTTATGTTGTTCTCAGTCTAGCTGTGCTTACCACAGTTGTCTGCCTGCATTTATTGTTGGGTGGAAGTCCATTCATTTGGATTGTTTTGAATATTACTCGAGACCAGGGCACTGTGAGTATTAAATGAAAAATTAGTTAGTAAATTCATTTTAATGATACTTTATGTATCCTAAACCCCATTGTGCTGTTTTTTTCTTTTTTCAGTTCAATATATTTTTATGGTGGATAATTTGCTCCATTGCCGCCACAGTAAGTGTTCATAGACAAGTTCGGTGGGAACAAAAAGCTTCCACTTCCCAGCGGAAACTTTTCCATCTCCTAGCAGTTGTTGTGTTTGGATTAGGTATTTTAAATGTACCAGATCTCATTTATTTGGCAAGTGGTGTGTGTTTTGCCATATTTCTTGTCTTAGAGGTAAGGCCTTAGCATTTTCTGTGCTGAGAAAAGTACAACTTAGACATTGCAATAAAATAAATTAATTAATATTTCAGGCTGCAAGAATTTTACAAATTCCACCTCTATCAGATATATTGAAAAATGGTTTCATCTTGTATGGTGATGAAAAGGATATTCTGATTGCTCTCACGCCACTTTATCTATTAGCTGGGATGGCAGCTCCCCTATGGCTGTCGCCCTTGGGCAATATCCCAATAGAAGCAGCGCATCTAATGCCCTACTTGTCTGGGCTACTCTCAATAGGTGTTGGGGACACTGCAGCCAGCTATATTGGATCTAATTTTGGATCCACCAAGTGGCCAGGTAAGTTGTCCTTGCCATTTACCACCATGCTTCATCACTTGACTAATTTATTTACAGCAAATTTTAAATTGATTTTTTTTTTCTCCTTAAGGAACAAATCGCACTGTTGAGGGAACTATAGCATGTTTCACTTCTCAACTGGCTGTAACATTGCTTCTCATATTTTTTGGTGAGCACCACTGTAATATTTGTATTGGATTTCTTTGCAATGTGAGCTATAAGCCTCCTTTTACTTTACAGATTATCTTCCTGGTGATATACTGTCACTATTCAGGAATGTAGTGGCAATAGGTGCCACAAGCATGATTGAGTCAAGAACTGACCAAGTAGATAATATGGTGCTTCCATTGGTACATTTCATCCTTACTTGATAGAAAAGAACTTTGTGATCATTCTAAACATGGGGAAAATTGCTGTGGTTTCAAAATGTCTAGTCACTAGAAGCATGTCCTGTTTTCAAAGTTTATTTATACATGTTGCTGGCTGAACTCACCCACCAGCATTACAATACTTTTCATTCCTTTCTGAGAATGATACTAGGCTTCATTCAAAGTTGTACAAATGAAAGACAGCTACACATTAACACAAATCAAGTCTTGACAGTGTCATCAGACATAATCTGAATTTTCTGTGATACTGATATTACAATACTATGTTACTAGAAAATCCAAGCTTTCATGAGCTGCAAACTGCAAACCTCTCTAGGGACAAAATACTAATCAGCTTGAAATCAATAACAAGCAAAACTAGTATTATGGTAATACAGCGTAACAATATATTTACTGTTAAGCTTCCACTTTAAATGAATTTGTGCTCAGTTACCACCTATTTTACAGCAGTCATATGAAAATTAAAATGCCTTGCTTAGCAATACATCTTTGTTTTAAGGTTGATATATTGTAGGATATTTACAAATAATAATAGTCACAATAAAAAACTGAATAATAAATAATATGATAATGAGAACAAGAACTGAATGATTATGTACAGATTTATATAGAAAGTTCACTAAACTACAATAAAGAATGCTGTTTTAGCTTATGATATTTTCTTGAGGGCAGATTACCTATCATGAAAGAAAACATGCACAGGAAAAGGAAAAGAAAAATTCAATCCAACCTGCAAGGGTACAGTGCCACTTTTCCTACAACATTCTTTGCAAGCTCATTTCCTACACAGAAAAGATCACTCTCAGTCTTACATGGTACTTATGTCCTCAGGTAAGAGATCAGTTTAAATTGGGATCAACTACATGCGTCTAGCACAGACATACAGATCTTCAGGTACACGCAGAAAATGAAATCACAATAAAAATCTATCTACTTGGCGCCTGCTACAGGCAAGGACACAATTGGGCATAGAAACCTGGGTTTTCAAGAGAAATCATAGAAGATTGTAAAAACGTACAGAATGCATAACTGAATGCAGAAGTTTATCACAAATGAAGAAACCATTACGCTAATCTATACTATAAGTCTCTTTTATGCCTCTATTTTGGCTGTATTATTAAGTTTTCAAACATCAATGGGGATCTCTCATAGGCGCAAAGACCAGCTGAGCATCAGAATGTTGGATAAGGTTTTTCCGGTTTCTTACTCGTAGAATTAACGTCTGTTAACATAGCTTGGGTAGTTTTTCACAAACCTTTGGGCCCCGTCGTCTACAAAGGAATAAGAATGATTAGAATTGAAGCAAAATCTAAACGTAAACAATGACAAGCCTTAATCAAGGCAGCAGAAAACTATAAACATGACAGAAATGTCAGGCAATAGACTTGTACAAAATTCAAGGAAGCACACTTCCTTACCCTCGCGAAACGTTTACTCAGGGCAATGCATGGTGTGTGCTCGTTTTTCGTCTCCAGCTGGGTAGCTGGAAGGTAACCCTCATTTCTTTGGCATGGCCGCCGTCACTAAAGTCTGATACCACTGAGCGTGGAACTGTCCCCAGTTGGGTGCGTTGGGCTTCGTCTGGTGGAACAGTGCGAAGAGAAGCGGTAGCTCGGGAAGGTTTTGGTATCTGTCCTGGCTCAAAATCTCCACAACTCTTTTTCTCTGGTCGTCGTCTGTCACGTCGAGGCGCACAAGCCTCCGGGCAATTTCCAAATAAAGGTGAGGGGGCGTGGTTCCTCGCGCTGTCGGCGTGTAGGATGAGTACGCCGGGTACTCCATGGTCTTCAAGTTGAAGCTGGGACGAGAATAATAGGGCAAAACGTACAATCGTACGCGAAATAGAAGCAAGAGCAGCTACCGGTACCCGGTCGCAGGACTACTACTACAGAAGAGGGGAGGAGAGGGAAGAGGTGTCTGTCGCTGTCGGGTCGACAACCCGAAGCTCCCCGAAGCAGAGCCGAGCCGAGGCCGAGCCCAGCCGAATCATGAATGAATGGAATGATAGGCGCGGATATTTGAATGGGGATGGGGCGTGTCCATCGACATGTGCACACCTTGATGTACGCGAAGGGAACCACTGCAAGATCATTCAAACTAACACAATTGAAAAGTTGTGCTCAGTTACCACCTTTAATGAAGTTGATAAAGACATACATACATAAATAAAGAAACAAATATAAATACGAAGTATGAAAATGTGAACAAGAACAAACTGGACAAATGCCTTAAAAGTTAAATACACTACCAAACTATATCAAAAGACTTTGGATTTAAAATAAAATTTCAATATTCTGCAATTAAAATGCAGCTCCTATCCACTAGGAGTATGATTCTAATCATACGCGAGATGCTGAAGTAATTTTTAAAACTAAACACGTTGTCAGCAACAGTGACCAATTTCGTAGCTCATACTGAATTCTTACTATGTACAATGAAGTCACTCTCAGTCTCAGTCTTTAAAGCATGTCCTAAAGATATAAGAGGTTTGTAGAAAATTGAAAGTTCCATGATAGAGGCTACTAGGCAGATCTAGTGAAGACAAACAGCTTTTCAGGTACTCAAAGAAAAAAAAATCACAAAAAGAAAAAGATTATGCGTTGAACTCTGGCAAAATTGGAGGACATGTGCAAACTAGATGCTTGTCACCATACAGGTCATCAATTCTGCCGACGCTAGGCCAGATCTTGTTTTCAGCCCGAACAAATGGCTGCAAAAATAAAATAAATATTTCAAGATTCTAGAGCAATGTATAGTAAATAAATAAGTCAACAAATGACCAATAAATCTTACCGCTGGGAAAGCTGCTTGTTCCCTTGGGTACGGTCTATCCCACTCGCTGCTTATAACTTGCTGCTGAGTATGAGGTGCCATTTTCAGGGGATTCACTCGAGTGTCCATTCGGCCTTCCTCAATTTCTCGAATCTCTTGTCTAATGGCTGTAATTTTTCAACACAAAACAAAATGATATAATTTTCAAAAATGTTATGAAGTTTTGATTTTTGGTTGAGTGCTGTTTTACTTACATATTAAAGCTTCACAGAATCTGTCAAGTTCAAGCTTGTCTTCTGATTCTGTTGGTTCGATCATAAGAGTACCTGCTACGGGCCAAGACATAGTTGGAGCATGGAAACCTGATTTTCAAAAAAAGGCAAAAATGTTAAACACTAAACAATGCATAAACCCACCACTAAAAACAGAAAATATCATTTAAAATACAAACAAACGTTACCATAATCCATAAGTCGCTTAGCAATATCCACTGCCTCAATTTTGGCGGTTTTCTTCAGTTCTCGAACATCAATGATAAACTCGTGGGCGCAAAGACCAGTTGAACCTCGGAATAATGTTGGATAATGTCCTTCTAGTTTCTTACTCATATAGTTAGCGTTTAATATTGCCACTTGAGTAGCTTTTCTCAAGCCTTGGGGCCCCATCATCTGAAACGACATTGAAAAAATGTGTTATGACACTATATACAAAGAGAGAGATTCTTCTTTGAGTGGCCTTAGGCGAGTCTATATTGGCCAAAACAAAAAACAGTTACATATATCGGCGGAGCACGAAACCATGGAGTCTCCATGCGAAAGCACCTTTGAGTGGCCTTAGGCGAGTCTATATTGGCCAAAACAAAAAACAGTTACATATATCGGCGGAGCACGAAACCATGGAGTCTCCATGAGAAAGCACCTTTGAGTGGCCTTAGGCGAGTCTATATTGGCCAAAACAAAAAACAGTTACATATATCGGCGGAGCACGAAACCATGGAGTCTCCATGAGAAAGCAAACACAACAAACAAAAGATAGGTGTCGTTCGAAAAGAAACTCTACCTTACACTCGTGATCATTTCTATCAAACATAATCTCGTCTTTCGGCGGCACACACCAGAGTTCTGTACCACTCAGCATGATACTTTTCCCAGTCAGGTGCCTTTGGGTCCGACTGATGGAACAGGGCGAGGAGTCGCGGTACAATGGGAATGCGGGCCCTTTCCGCAAATAGCATTGGGAAAATTCCCTCCCTTTTGAGCCTCAAATCTACTATAAGAAGCTTCCGGGCCAGAGCCTCATTCAAATCAAGTGCATAATCACTGAGACGCGAGTCCTGCATGTTCCTCAGAAGCACCGAACACGTCCAACTACGTCGTGGTAACAACACAATGGAACGGCAGCGGCAATGCAACAGCGGCGAGCGCCGTTCACGTCCGTCAGCCAATCGCCGCGGCTGACGGGGGAGGGGAGTGGCAGGGGAGCGGGAAACTCGTCTTCGTCGCTCTGTCTCTCTCGCTCTCTCGCTTTGGTGGGGCGTCCCGTTTAGGTGCGAGAGAGATAGAGCGACGAAAACGACCCTCTGAATCAGACCGCAGTTAGCATCAATTTTCAGTTGTACGCACCTTGATGTAGGCCCAGGAGATGGGCAGGATGGCTGAGGAGCCGTACGGCGCGGCGCTGACGACCCCGAAGGATCGCTCGTCCCCGCCCATGTTGACCACGGGGTGTCCGGGGAGGAAAGGAGCCAGGTGCGCCTTCCTGTGAACAGTCAAAGCTGTTAAACTTCAGGGGAGCGCGAAGTGCTCATCAAAATGAAAAGTCCACTCACACTCCGATGGGCCCCATGCCGGGGCCGCCGCCGCCGTGAGGGATGCAGAAGGTCTTGTGCAGGTTGAGGTGGGACACGTCGGAGCCGTAGTCGCCCGGCCTGCACAGCCCCACCTGGGCGTTCATGTTGGCGCCGTCCAGGTACACCTGGCCGCCGTGCTCGTGCACCAGGTGGCACACGTCGGCGACGGTCTCCTCGAAGACGCCGTTGGTGGAGGGGTACGTGATCATCAGGCACGACAGGTCCTTTTTGAACTCATCCACCTGGTATCCGATGACGGCGTGTTATTGCTATCTATCCCAGAGCCGCCCAAGGCGACCTACGCGTCAAAACGGGACCTGCAGACTGATTCCGACGGAGTCGTTTCGTCGCTCTCGCACTCGTTGGCCATCTCCTGGGCGAGAGAGACAGAGCGACGAAACTACTCTCCGGAATCGTGGCCCTCACTGCCCACCTTGGCCTTGAGGTGCGCCATGTCGATGAGGCCGTCCTTGGAGACGTTGATGGGCTCCACCTGCATGCCTGCCATCTGCGCGGACGCGGGGTTGGTGCCGTGCGCCGACACTGGGATCAGGCAGATGTTGCGGTTCTGCTCGCCGCGGTTCTCGTGGTAGCTCTGGATGGCGCGCAGGCCCGCGTACTCACCCTGGGCGCCGCTGGAGGTCACAGAGGCCACGAATTAGAACGCCGTCCATCCCCCGCACAGTGGGCCAGAGGACCGGCAGAGGCGGCAGAAATTCTAGACGCGTTTTGAGCTCCAGAGTCGCTTATCAGGACTCGAATCGAGCGTCTGGCCCCACCAATGAATTCCTCGTTCGGAGAGCAAATCCATTGGTGGGGTCACACGCTCGGTTCGAGTCTTTGTAGCGACACTAGAGCTCAAAACGCGTTTCGACCGCCTCCACCGGTCTTCTGACCCAATGTGTTCCGCCTTCATCACCAGCCCGGCCGCCCCCTGTTACCTGTTGGGCTGGAACGAGATGCGGTCGTAGCCCGTGACGGCGCACAGGTCGTGCTCCAGCTCGGCGAACATCTGCTGGTATCCGCGCGTCTGTGACTGCGGCGCGAACGGGTGGATCTCGGTGAAGTGGCGGAAGCTGCAGGGCATCATCTCGGTGGTGCCGTTCAGCTTCATGGTGCACGAGCCGAGGGGGATCATGGAGTGCACCAGCGACACGTCCTTGTTCTCCAGCGTCTTCATGTAGCGCACCAGCCTGGCCTCGGAGTGGTGCGAGTTGAAGACGGCGTGCGTGAGGTACGGCGACGTGCGGCGGAAGGCGGACTCCTTGATGCTCCCCGCCGTGCCCGCGCCGGGCTGGGACAGCAGCTGCAGACAACGTTACTTGCATGAGGACTCAGCGGCACTTGCAAGGCAAAGCATGCACAGCGGGGTTCACACTCACGCTGTCCACAGTCTCCTCGCTGCCGAAGACGGCGAGCAGGTCCTGCACGTCGGTCAGCTTGACGGTCTCGTCGAGCGACACGCCGAGGCAGCCGTCCTCGAAGACGCGCAGGTTGATGCGCTTCTCGGCGGCGCGGCTCACCACGTCGGCCTGGCTCAGCTTGGGCCGCACCTTGATGGTGTCGAAGAAGAGCGGGTTGAGCACCTCGCTGCCGCCGGCGTGGAGGCCGTCCGCCAGCACCAGGGTCATGTTGTGGATCTTGAGGGCGATGTCGCGGAGGCCCTGCGGCCCGTGGTACACGGCGTACATGGCGGCCATGTTGGCGAGCAGGGCCTGCGCCGTGCAGATGTTGGACGTGGCCTTGTCCCTGCGGATGTGCTGCTCGCGCGTCTGCAGCGCCAGGCGGTACGCGTCGCCGCCGCTCGCGTCCCTCGTCACGCCGATCATGCGGCCGGGCATGAGGCGCACCAGCGACTGGCGGCACGCGAAGAAGCCCGCGTGCGGCCCGCCGTAGCCCAGCGGCACGCCCAGGCGCTGCGCCGACCCCACGGCGATGTCCGCCCCCATGTCGGACGGCGGCCGCAGCAGCGTCAGCGCCATCAAGTCCGTGGCCATCACCACCAGCGTCTGGCGGCACAGTCGGGTCAGACGTGTCTGCACTACTCAAAATGCCCTCAAAATGTCAAAATATTAATTGATCGCGCTTACTCCGTTCTCGTGCGCCTGGTCCACGACGGCCGTGAAGTCGTGCACGCTGCCGTTGGTGTCCGGGTACTGGATCAGCACGCCCGCCACGTCGCGGTTCGAGAAGTCGGCCTCGTTGATGTCCACCACGTCCACGGCCAGCCCCAGCGAGTCGGCGCGCGTCTGCACCACGGACACGGTCTGGGGGTGCAGCTGGTCCGACAGCACCAGCCGGCGCCGCTTGTTCTGCCTGCCCAATCCAACCGTCGGTCATGCGTTCGAGTCCAGCCCGCGGCGAGAAGCGGATTCGTTCTCTCGCTTTACCTGAAGCACAAGCTGAGGGCCTCGGCGGCGGCAGTCCCCTCGTCCAGGAGGGACGCGTTGGCCACCTCCATGCCGGTCAGGTCCGACACCATGGTCTGGAAGTTGAGCAGGCTCTCCAGGCGGCCCTGCGCGATTTCGGGCTGGTACGGCGTGTACTGGGTCGTCCTGGATGGGCAGCAAACGTGGTAGTCATTTACGCGCTAACCGCCATGACGACGACGACGATGATGCTCTGGGTGGAGCGCCTGCAACGCGAAGGTTAGGCAACCCGACCGCGCCGGTGCGTTCCCGCGGCCTATGCCGGCACCTGGCGGCGCTCGGAGCGCGAGGCGCGAGGCACTTAGTTCACTTACCAGCCGGGGTTCTCGAAGATGTTCCTCATGATGGGGTGCGGCACGCAGCAGTTGTAGTACCCCATGCCGATGTACGAGCGCCATATCTCGTTCTTCTCGGACACCTCGCGGATGCGTGTGATGAGATCATACTCGCCTGAAAAGAGGCCAGAATAGCAGAAGTTTGATCGAAAAGTTTGAAACGCGCGCGCCGCGCGGCGCCCCAACAACAGATTTGTATCGAGGTGATTAATCGTGACCCCGGGATGACCCACTGAGCGGTCGCGTAAGGCTTATCGGTTGGGACGAGATACTACTTTCTTGCTCAATTTCGAGATAAATTTATTGCCACAATTCGGAATCCGCACACGTCACAGGTCACGGCAACGCGGCCAACGAGTAGATCTGACCGGCTCTAACTAACTGCAGCTCGCTGCAGCTCAAATTTAGTTTGACGCGGTACTCACTCAGAGGCTCGGAGATGTCCAGCTTCTTCTTGTACTGTATGTTGGCGGGCACCGCCTTGTCGGTCAGCTCGTCCAATGACTGCGAACCAGAGGAAATGAGAAACAACACCTAAGGACACAGTGGGCCAGGAGACCGGCGGAAGCGGCCAAAACTCTAGACGTGTTTTGAGCTCCAGAGTCGCTAAATGGGACCCGAACCGAACGCGTGACCCCACCAATGGATTCCTCGTTCGGAGAGCAATCCATTGGTGGGGTCACACGTTCGATTCGAGTCCCATTTAGCGACTCTGGAGCTCAAAACGCGTCAAGAATTTGGCCACCTCCACCGGCCCTGTGTCCCACTATGCGGTAGCCTGCACTTGGCATCGCCAAGAACCCCCGACTCACCTTGTAGCCGAGGAAGTCCAGCATCTCCCTCTGCTCGAAGTCCCGGGGCCCGATGTGTCTGGACTGGAACTCCTCCTTGGGGAACATCTTGCTGGCGGCGGAGCTGGCCGTCCTGGCGACGCATAGGCCGCCCTTGCTGCCCAGGATGCCGCCGAGGGTCGTCATCGGCGTGGTCCCCGCCGACCGCAGCACGCCGCACACGCGAAACATGTCACTGCTTGTGTTGTCCCTGTTTGTTGTTCCCGTTCAATCTCCTCCGCCTCTCGCGGCTGGACGTCTACTGGCCGCCGGCCTCGACGGGGGCCTCGGCGGGGGCCTCGACGGGCACCCTGGCGGGGCTGCGTGTGGCGGCGCTGTCGTCGCGCTCCCTCTCTCTTTGGCGGCCGGCCGGGAGCGATAAGGACAGGGCGAGTTCAATCCCTCGGGATAAGGCGCGGCCATGGCGCAGCCCTCGGGATAGTGCTAAACACAACAACAAAACAACTGCAGCACCGCAAACACTTTTCCCTGCCGCGCGGCGCCGCAGTGGCGCAAATAGTACTCGTTGAGTAAGAGGGCGCTGTCGCCGGCTGTCGCTGTCTCCGAATGGCATGCACTGATAGCGGCGGTCCGCGGGGGGTCTTCCCAGCAGCCGGGCCGGCCGGGCCAGCGATAAGGCTGCCCGGTCAGCTGTTGCCGAGAGGACAACAACACTGACTTCGCCGCACGCAGCGCACAGGGCACACCAGACACAAAAAAACAAAAGCCGACAGGCGTGATTACGCGTCGCGAAGGTACATGATCCCGCCGCTATCGTTCACCTATTATTCCTCACAATCAGTCTCTCGGGAAATACCCCCTGTCCGAGGGGCGGTGTCGCAGGGGCGCTGTCGCTACCCCGCGCTGCCCGAGTGCCCCGCCGCCCAGATGGCTCCACCCTCGCCGACGTACCACTATGATCTAGAATCCCGAAAACGCGGAAAAAATTCCTACGGCCTTGAAATCTCTCTCTAGTAGGTATTTTGGGTCGGGGAATCCGAATCTGACATTAGTTTTGAGCTATGGTGACGTGCCTCTGAAAGAAACTGCAGAAAAAGCTTAAAAAGACTAAAAATTGAGAAAATATTGCTGTTGAAGATAATCGAAGTCGGGTAAAGAGCTGCTGGCACTAGTTTCGAGGTCTGGGACCTTTACTTTGTTAAAAGAAGAAGGGCTGTGCAAGAAATAACACAACGATGAAGCGACTTTACTCTGCCATTCTATTTTTTAAATTAAATATTTGAATTTTACACGGTTTACCACAACCAGTTGAATTTCATTCAATGTATAAAACGAAACAAAATGTACAGAATAGAACCGAAAAAATGTCTAAAACAAAATGTACAAAACAAAGCGACAAAAACAAACTTATAACAAAAAAGTTATTCTAAAAGGCACATGCCTTAATTTATTTTTGGAATAAAACTGAGTTCTTCCTTTCCATTTCTTCTAAACTGCTTTTCTGAGAGTGAGAATAGTGCCGCATTTTCCTTGATACCTTACGTCATGTTCATACATCACTGCGGAAAAGTTGCAACGAGTCTCCATTTGCACCCTGCAGACTCACTTCTGATGTCCCTGAGTTCATTTTCGGTTTCACGTATCTCAATCTCAGCATTTTTCTGCCTATTTTCTGTGATTTTGGGCCCACTTCCGGTGATTTTGAGTTCACTTCCGGTATGAACTAAGAGTAAATAAAGATATGTCCTTGATAGCACTTTTGAAGCCGTCCATGTATGTATGTGTCCATGTGTGAGAAAAAGCAGGCACGGACGGAATTTTGTCTTTAAAAAGCTTAAAAAACCCCATGTTTGAGGGCTATAGAATCCCGGGGTCGCAGGTGGTCGCAGCATTTGCCGATGGATTATCAAACTATGGTGACCGGACAACTGAAAACTGACCACCAGAACCCAGCCAAACCCAGCCATTTTGATCCCGGCTCTCGCAAAAATTCGAATTTTACCAATTTTGCCAAATTGTGTAAAGAAGTTTTCCGGCTTTGCCATTAATCCGAGAATGACACATAAAAAACACCCTATAATGCAAAAGAAAGCCTGAAAAAAGACCTTTAAAATGGTATATAGGGTTTGAGGGTTCGAACCCGCCTTCCCAGGGAAATCGAGGACGGACTGAACCTCAACGAAGAACGTCAACAAACGTTTAGTCAAGTTTGACAAATTTGTCAACTTTGGGAGCCTCCCATTAGTCGGAGGCGACCGTCCGAGGTGTTTCTTGACTTGATTCTTGTCAGATGGACATTCGAGGATAGTTTCAGCCACACGGAAGCCAAATCAGAGCACTTTCGTTTTTCTGAATTTTTTCCGCGTTTTCGGGATTCTAGATCATAGTGGTACGTGGCTGCTGGCTGGCGGGGCGCGAGAGGGTCGCGGGCAGCTTCCGGCCGTGCGGACGCGGCATCCGGGCCGCCCTCCGGCAGAGCAAGGCCTTGGTCTGTGGCCCTCGGTCCTTTCTTGGTCCGTGGCCCTTGGTCCGTCGTCCTTTGGTCCTTGGTCTTGCCTTGGTCCTTGGTCCTTGGCCCTTGGTTCTTGGCCCTTGGTCCCTGGTCTGTGACCCTTGGCCCTTGGTCCTTGGTCGGTGGCCCTTGGTCGGTGGCCCTTGGCCGTTGGTCGGTGGCCCTTGGTCCTTGGTCCTTGGTCCTTGGTCCTTGGTCCTTGGTCCATGGCCCTTGACCGTTGGTCGGTGGCCCTTGGCCCTTGGTCCTTGGTCCGTGGTCCTTGGTCCATGGTTCTTGGTTATTCCCTCAAGGCTACCGCCCAATCCGCCGTGATCTCGCCCTCTCCACGCGCAGCCTTGGGCTAGCAGCAGCCTCCAACACTTTTCTGCATGTTTCTCGCTGCTCAGCACGCCCATTCCGAACGGCGTCTCCTCGCTTTCTCTCTCTCACTCGCCGGCGTCTCGCAGGGGTGCGACAGAGGCAGAGCGGCGGCTCCGTTCCAGCCGATTAGCGCGTCATTAGCTGGGGTGTCGGGATAAAGATGGCGATAATCGCGTTGGCCTCCCTGATGAGCCGTGCGCTGCTCGCGCTGCTCGTCACAGTGTGCTGTGCCGCGCCACCCTGCCACCCTGCTCGTGTCCGTGTCATCGAATTAGCCCGCAGAATATGACACGCCGCCCGGGCCGCCGTTGTCGCCGCCCAATCTCTGCCCCGCCAATTTCCACCCTCTCTCCTCTCCCCACGACTTGGCGTTCGCGCTGCCTCCGGCTGCCTCCCTGTCCGCGCGCTAAGTCACTAAGTCCCCTGCTTTACTCTGCCGTCGCCGTGCCGGTCGAGTGCCCGGCCCAGCACGGCCCAGCACGGCAGCTTCCACTCCGCGGCGGCCTCGGCCGCGCAAGGCCCCGCGCAAGGCCCCGCACCCCGCGCACTGCCAGACAATTTATGATATCAGAATCACCACCAAGAGTTATGACTCCCACTCTCCTCTCCGCACCGGCGCCACCGCAGCACTTCCCCGTGGGCCGTGGGGGCGCCGTACCTGTGTCCGCTACCTTCCGACTCCCCTTCCCCGCGATGTCCTGCCGCACTCGGCCAGGGTGGGCCCATCCCAGGGTGGGCCCATCCCGCTTTTTTTGCAGGCCTTGTTCGGCGAATCCCTTTAGCTGCAACGAGAATGACGAGAATGGAGTTGGACGGCCTTGCGGGTCTTCTCCAGAGTAGCAGCAGGTGGTGCGGCGCGGCGCGGCGCCCCTCCGCCACCCTCCGCACGAGGCGAGGGCCTGGCCGGCCCGCCTGGCCAGACGGAGGGGAAGGGGCAGTCGCACCGAGCTTTTCACTTGGGGCCCTTTCATATGCCGCCCCTGCCCGCCCGCCCAGCCTACACTTTCCCCCACCGCCCCTCCCCCTGCCCCTGCCCCTCCCCCCGTTCGCCATTGTCTCGCCCCTACTCTTGGTCCAGTGGCGCTGGTCCTCGGCCAGCAGCCCGGCCTCAAGGCCCGGCCTCAAGGCCCGGCCCGGCCTCGGCCTCGGCCCGGCGCAGCGCGACGAGACGGCGCAGTCCGCCGCCGTTCCGCACCAACTACCGCGTCTTGCGCCAAAGCGGCGCCAAAGCGGCGCCAAAGCGGCGCCAAAGCGGCGCCAAAGCGGCGCCAAAGCGGCGCCAAAGCGGCGCCAAAGCGATGCAGCCGGCCCGCACCGGCCCGTACCGCCCGCTAATCCCCTAAGCCGTAATCCCCCAAGCAGTTCGCAGTCCATGCAGGCGCCGCCATCGCCGTCACGCCGGCCGCTCCCACGGCTGCAGCGCGGCCCCGCCAGCCACACCGGGCGGGCGGTCGGACGGCTCAGGGCCGCCTTCGTCGCTCTGTCTCTCTCGCACCTATAGGGGACGCCCCACGAGTGCGAGAGAGACAGAGCGACGAAGGCGGCCCTCGGAATCAGTCGACAGCTGGCCTGTTGCCGCTGCCGCCCCGCGCGGCCTCGTCTCGTTTCCTTCAAGGAGAGCCAAGGACCATTATCGGGGCTCCGGCCCGCTCGGGGCTGCGTCCTGGGTGCTGGCAGTGCTGGCAGTGCTGGCCTTCCGGGATGGCCGGGCCGGCGGCCCGCTGGACCCACACTGCTACTGCACGCCGCGCGGCACGCCGTCATGCGCCGCCGCGCGCCGCCGCCTCCCCATCTTTCAGCGCACGTTCCAACCCCACTGCGCTGCGGCGGCGGCGGCGGTCGGCGCTTTCATGGAGTGACAGGGCGGGGCGGGGCGGGGCGGGGCGGGGCGGGGCGGGGCTCGAGGGCAGGGCAGCAGTATAGAGTTGAGTCTATTATGCGGTGATCGTGTCCCCTACCTGTTGGAGTGGCCCTGCCCGCACGGCCCGCACCCCACCTTCGAGTAGGCCTCCCACCCCGCCGCCCCCGCCCCCTCCGCGCGGCCGCCCCACCGAGCGGGCCGCGGGCGGAGCGACTCGCTGCGCTACGCGGCGCGGCGCTGCGCGTAGTGACGGCGCTGGGACGGGCAGGGGCAGGGCAGGCGGAGCGACGTCGCGCTCCTCATTGCGGAGGAGGGAGGCCCCAGGCACACACCAGGACGCCCAGCACGCCCAGGTCGCCGCCGACGCCCCGGGAGCTGAGAGGCGCGCGGCACGCAGCGGCACGCAGCGGCACGCCGTGGATGGCGCCGTGGATGGCGCCGTGGACCCGGCCCTGCCAGGGCGACGCCCGGACCCCACCGCCGGCATGGACGGCCTCGGCTTCGGCTCGCAGGACATAGATGCAGCAGCAGTTTGCAGGTGAGTGCGGCAGTGTCGCGGGCAGCGTCCTGCTGGGGCTGCTGGGGCGACGGGGAGTAGAGCGTCATTTGTCTAGGAAATGGTTTTGGGTTCGGGACTGTTTTTACAAATGAAAAGTGATGTTCAGTGGAAACCGCCAAAAGTGCCGCGTTTTCGATCTTCATTTCAAAAAGACAAAAGATTGGTTTTTGGGCCAAACCCGATCTTGAAGAAACAACTCGTGAAAACTCTCGGTGTTCGTAATGGTGTCGTTAGGGCGCGCAGGCGGAGCTCGGAGTGCTCGCTGGAGGTCGCTGCGTTTAAGTCCCGCGGCTCGACGCAAAGCGACGCAAAGCCCGTCCGTGACGCGGCGTGACGGCGTCGTCACTGCTGCCACTCCCCTTCGGCACCGTGACGACCGTGACGGCATTGGCGCGCAGGGGTTAGATTGGCGACAGCAGCGACAGCAGCAGCCGCTTGCAAATCACAATAGTACCCTGCGCTGTAAAGTGGGATCGGGAGTCTGAAGTCCGCTCGCGAAGGGCGCGGCGAGCTTCGGAGTGCTTCGGCGTGCCTCTATCGGCGTGCTTTGGTACTCGCGGAATCCGGGACTCTGCGCGTCCTTTGGCGCGCTTTGTGTCTCGCCGCCCCGCTTGGCATGGAGAAGCAGTCCCCTTTGCCGGACGCGGCCCCGCGCTGACGGGCGGGGCGGGGCGGGGCGGGGCGCGGCAAGGTGTTGCAGCCTTTGATCACGACGGAGTGGATGGCTCGGAATGTGACATCGCGCGCGTTGCGCTGTTGTGTTTGCAGTGTGCCCTCATCGCTAATTGGAAGTTTGAACGCCAAAAGCAGTCTTTTGCGCCACCTCTGTGAGTCCCTGTGCCGCGCCGTGCCGTGCCGCGCCGAGCCCAGCCCTCCGTCAGGTGCACTCCATCACGCCCCACTCGGTGTCCCGTCCAGGCGACCGCCGCCCCCGCCTCCATTGGCTGGGCGCACGTGGGACAGGCCGGGACAGACCTGGGACAGCATGGGACAGGGCTCGATCGGATGACTAGAAACACGCGCGCTGCGGTCGGCAGACTGAGTCGGTCGCTCTGTCTCCCTCGCACTCATGGGGCGTCAAGTAAGCGTGCGAGAGTGACAGCGACGAGAACGCCTCTCGGAATCAGTCTGCAGCCTCGCTTGGCGAGGCCCAAAGAGGCCCCAAAGATGCGGCCGATTCCTCGTTGCGCGCGACGCGGGGCGACGCGGGGCGCTACTTCGGCCTTTCGGTTTAAATCCGGACCACGCCTCATCGCCGCCGCGATTGCCCCGCTCGCTGATTGGCCCATCAGCGACCAATTTTCCAGCACGCCTTCCCCCTCCCCTTTTTCCAGTGCCGAGAGGCGGGCGGCGCGCCGGATTTTATTATTATCATTACATTAAATCCGTGCCGGGCGGCCCATTTTTGGCAGTGTCTCGCTCGGGGCGGCCGGGACCTCAGCTCGCTGGTTGACTAGCTGGCTGGCTCTCGCGCCGGGTGCCCTTTGACGTGGTGTGCGTGCACGCCGTGTCTAAGTGCCTCTGTTGCCCCAGTATGCCGAGCCGAGGCCGAACCCTGTCGAGCCGCGAGCCGCGCCGCCCGTCACACATTTGGGGCTCGAGCAAATCTAGTAACAACGAGGTTGGCGGTTCGAGTCTCGCCCATTCTTTGCTCTTTTCTGCACGCTTTCAGTGCGGTGCGAATCAAATCTGGCTTCATACACACCGCATTACCACCTAGCCTCCGTGAGCCACGGTGGCTGAGAGCGTAGGGGCGTCGGTCTCCCAACCCTGTGAACCAGGGATCGGCTCCCGCTGTGTCCACAATTTTCGGACCACATTCCGACTTCGCCATTTTGCGTTGACGGGTGCTTTCCTCGCAGTGGTAACTCTTTTCACTCCGTGAGGTATATATACAACCTCTCGGCGGTCGGCCATCGTCCGACTGGGAAGGGTGGCGTATGACTTCGTTGTACCAGCGGTGGCTCGCCGAGTGAGATGGGAGCTGATACTGTGAGGGAAACGTGGCAATGTGGCCTGATGATCCGGCGGACACCCCGGTGGGGTACTACGGGAGCACCAGGCCAGTGACGAACACCAAAGTCATTTTTTATCTCTCTCTGTCTCTCTATCTCTGTCACCCTACGATCGCCGGCTACCCTCATAAGGCGGTCCTTCAAGTGTGGACGGCTATAGCGGTCCTACAGGAGCTGAACTATGCGGTAGCAGTTTAAAGCCTGGATACACCGGTTCCCATCCGAACACCGAAGTTAAGAAGGCGGCTCAAACCCCATTTGTGGGGAAAGGGGGTCGTAGGGTTCAATTTTTAAAATTTTATTTTAAACCAAATTTTTAAGAGAGTGGCTTTTATAACTCCGTTCTGGGTACCTTGTTTTGTTTTGTCATGTGGTGAGGGGGAAAAATGGCGATGCGAGAGAAGTCTAGGTCGGACAAAAATAGGTCGCGCAAAAATTTAAGAGGGAAGGAGGTTGGACGAATTTCGGCAGGTCGGACAAAAAGAGGTCGTATAAACGACGTACTCCGGCGTCAGTCGCGGGCGCGGGCGTGTTTTGGCTGCCCTGAACGGTGGCTACACACGGCATACTTTGCTGTTGTCCATGTTCCTCCAGTTTCAAAGCCTGCTTCGGCAAATGGATTGAGAGCAAAGTCACGTGCTTAGTCGTCTGCCTCATGATCTCACCTTTCCAAAAATGTATGGGTTGATACATTTGGAACTGCTTCCTGAGCCACGGAAGGCCTTGTTGTAAGGGTTGGGGCCGTTTTTTGGCTGTGTTGCTCGGTGGGACATTTGAGCGGACTTGCTCGCGACTTGCTCGCGACTTGCTCGGGACATGCTCGGGACATGCTCGGGACTTGCTCGGGACTTGCTCGGTACTTGCTCGGAGTTGCTCGGTGCTTTCTCGGGTTTGCTAGGATATCCATCGACCTTCGCTCAGATTTGCTCGAGCCCCAATGTGTCACGGCGCCAGCACTCTTCGGGTCCGGCTAGATCCCGCTGTCCTTATTCCTGACGCCGATCCGACGGAACTGTGTGCACTCTAAATGTTGTACAGTGAAGATTCTCCATATTATGGTGAAAATGTTCCATATTATGGTGCTGCAGCTGACTCCATAACACCATCGAGAATTCACTGTACCTTATAGTTATTTTGACGAATTTTGTTGGTACTGTATTATGGAGAAAATCTCCACCAGTGCAGCCTTTCACCGTAAGACATTTACAGTGTGGACAACGCGTTTTGTCCCCAGACCGAGCTTTTGCGGCCTCACTTCTGACAACATAACGTAAAACTTTTGTTTCCCGAACTGCAATTAACGTCTGACGTCACACCATGCAAGTACAGAGTCAGTCCAGTGACCCGAACAAATAATGCGTCCTGAATGCTTTTGTCGTCTTCCGGCCGCAGTGGAAGCGAGGGCGCCTTGCGGGCGGGCAGACCCGGCGGCAGCCCTGTCAGCGGGCTTGCCTACCCCCACGGGGTTCACTGCTCTCTCCGCCGGCCGCGCCGAGCAGAGCTGTGAGACAGAAAACCCCATTTGAGCATCCATTTTGAGACCGATTTGGTTCGCAAACCAACCCCGCTAATCGCACGCCGTAGCAAGGCATGCAACAAAAAGGGTCGCGATTCGCTCCATTCTCTGCACGTTCTCTGTTTCAGGCGCTGCGGGGGGCCTTGCAGGCAAGCTTGCAGGCCGTGACCATGCAGACGGCCCGCTGTACGCGGGGGCCGAACCGCGGGGCCGGGCCGGGGGGCGGCGCGGGGGGCGGCAACGGCCCGGGCGGCGAGCACCGCGAGACGTGGGGGAAGAAGGTGGACTTCCTGCTGTCCGTCATCGGGTTCGCCGTCGACCTGGCCAACGTCTGGAGATTCCCGTACCTCTGCTACAAGAACGGCGGCGGTGAGTACCACAGCACCACGGCCTGACGGGCTTGGCCTTGGCGGTGGTGGCGCCGCTCCAAGCGAGGCTCCAAGGCCCAAGGTCCGCTGCCCACGACGCTGAGCTCCAGGGTGGCGAGGAACGGCGTGGAACGCGGGCCACGTGGTCGGGGTTTGTTTGATCCGGTTCCTGTTTGGATCGCCGTCCCCTACTCGATTTGCAAGCCGCTTCCGCCGGTAGGCCGTGGGGCCCAGGCGGTGCCTTGCCGTGTGTTGAGTGACTGGCAACCCCCTCCCCCTCCCCTCCGATTGCGCGCTCGGGGCACAAAGGCGTTGTCATCGACACGCGTGCTCCTCTCCTCACGACCGGCTCAAAAAAGAAGCGCGCAAAAAAATGTGAGCATGACAATGCGGAAGTTGCTCTGATGAGAGAGAGAGAGAAAGGCACAACAAGCATAGCGAAGCATAGCGAAGCATAGCGAAGCATAGCGAAGCATAGCGAAGCATAGCGAAGCATAGCGAAGCATAGCGAAGCATAGCGAAGCATAGCGAAGCATAGCGAAGCATAGCGAAGCATAGCGAAGCATAGCGAAGCATAGCGAAGCATAGCGAAGCATAGCGAAGCATAGCGAAGCATAGCGAAGCATAGCGAAGCATAGCGAAGCATAGCGGGGCGCGGCAGTAGCAGCGCCCAGCGCAAGCGCAGCCCTCGATGTGCGAAAACGCGTCGCGCGTTCCGGGAAGACTTTCGATTGTTCGTCTCGTCTGCGGCTCGTGCTTGGACCGCCCTGTCTATTTAGCGTCCGTGCCGCCAAAATTTCGCCGTCGTCTCTCCCTTGCCGCGACGCGCGCGCACACACGCCCACACGCACGCTCACACGCGCTCCTCCTTAGCTGTCATTAGAACAGTAACAGCTTTCCCAAAGTGCGGCGCGCCGCACAATGCGGCTCTCCATTTTCCCTTTCTTCCCCGGGCGCCCTCCTTGCCTTTTTTCGCCTTTTTTCGCCTTTTTTTTTTCATTTTCCCTTTTTTTCTTCCATGTCATTTCTCTTTTTGGAGGGCGCGGCGCGCGGCCACCGCCGCCGCCTTTGTTGTCAGATTCACGTCACTCCGCGGACTAGCCACGTAAACGCAAAGCCCATCGCGCACTACCCCCCCCCCCCCCCCCCCAGCAGGGTGTCCTTGATGGACTGATAATCGCCCTGGAATCACGTTATCCCTGGCCGGCGGCGGGACGCGGCGATGCGAGGAGAGGGTCCTGGCGGTCCTGGCGGTCCTGGCGGTCCTGGCGGTCCTGGCGGTCCTGGCGGTCCTGGCGGTCCTGGCGGTCCTGGCGGTCCTGGCGGTCCTGGCGGTCCTGGCGGTCCTGGCGGTCCTGGCGGTCCTGGCGGTCCTGGCGGTCCTGGCGGTCCTGGCGGTCCTGGCGGTCCTGGCGGTCCTGGCGGTCCTGGCGGTCCTGGCGGTCCTGGCGGTCCTGGCGGTCCTGGCGGTCCTGGAGCGAGCTGCAGTCGGATCGGCTGGAGTCTGGAGCCGGCGGCCTCGATCCACGCCGAGCATGCTGCAGCAGTCCCCATCTCATTTTTCGGGCGCGCTGCATCACGGAGATTCAATTACTATTGGCACAGCGTCATATAATGAAACCCGGGGAAAGGGGGAGGCGTCTAGACGGGCGCTGTGCGGCCCGGCGGCGCATGGCGTCGCGCTAATCACTCTCCTGTAGACTGATTCCGAGAGTCGTTTTCGTCGCTCCGTCTCTCTCGCACTGATAGGCGTCCACTGTAGGTGCGAGAGAGACAGAGCCGCGAAAATGACTCTCGGAGTCAGTCTGCGGGTAATCGACGACGGCCCGGGGCGGCAGCGCGGCGCGGCCAGGTGGGACCAAATTGGGCCGGCGATCGCGAATCGTCAGGGGAAGAGGGGGGGGGAAGCTGGCCGCGGAAAATGATTTGGCGTCGAGTGACACGTGGCGCGTGACTTGCAATGTATCGGCGGCCCCCAATCACGCAGTGCCGCCCCCTGCCGCCCCCTGCCGCCACCCCGCCGGCACGCCAGGCCGGCCCGGCCCCTAAAAGCCAAGCCGGTGCGGCGGTAATGTACTTTGAGACTCCTTGCCGGACAAAGCCCCGCGGCCCCGACGACCCCGACGGCCCCGACCCCGCCGACTCGGAAAGCTAAAGTGTACTAACTCGATTTCAAGAGCAAAGTGTCGAATGAGGCCCACTTGAAAGGGCGGCACGGCGGCGTGGCGGCGGAGCGCGCCGGAGAGAGGTGCTGCACGCCCGAGAGCCAAGTGGAGGGAGGGGCGGTGAGGGGGCGGGGACAGGCGGGGGCAGGCGGGGGCAGGCGGGGGCAGGCGGAGGCAGGCGGGGGCAGGCGGGGGCAGGCGGGGGCAGGCGGGGGCAGGCGGGGGCTGGCGGGGGCAGGCGGGGGCAGGCGGGGACAGGCGGGGGCAGGCGGGGGCAGGCGGGGGCAGGCGGGGGACGGCGAGGGCCGGGCGGGGGCGGCAGGTACTGCCGCGCGCTTCACACGCTCGTCTTCGGTATGTCGCACTGTCGTGAATGAATGTGCCTCCGCGGTAAGGGAAGGTATGGTTTTCCGCAGAGACGGGATCGCTAAGTGAATCGCAAGACAAATGATGATTTTCCAGAGAGAAATGTCGTGTGTCCCCGCGTCCTCCATGAAGGGCGCTTCGGTGGCTGGTGGCCACACCCCGCCTCCCCGTCTCCCTGACCTCTCCCCTGCGCGGCGAGGCCCTCTTGCACCACCTAGCCGGGCACGGCCAGGCCAGGCATGGCCGGGCCGCCATTTCATCAAGGAAAAGAAATGAGACGGGAAAGGAAATTGAACCAGCCGAGCTGCCCCGCTGCCCCCAGTGAGTCTCAGTGGGGGCGAGGTGGACGGCCTGGCGCGGCAGCGCGGCATGATGACGCACCCCAACACCTCCAGGGCTTTGCTCCAGGGCTTTGCTCCAGGGCTTTGCTCCAGGGCTGCCTCCCTGCAGAGCTTCTAGCAGACCTCGGCGGCGGCGGCGGCCGGGCCGGCAGGAAATCAGGTGCCAGTTTGTGGAGCACAACACACGTCAAGCCTGCGACGGCCTCGGCGGCCGCGGCGCCGCGAACGTCGGCGGGGGATGGGGCCGTGCCGTGCTGGGCCGTGCCGTGCTGGGCCGTGCCGTGTCGGGCCGTGCCGTGCTGGAATGAGCAACGAGAGGGGAAAGGAGCAGCGCTGCAGTTTCCTGTCTATAATTGGGCCGCTGGCAGAGCTTTTGAGTCGCCGGCTCAGAGGGGTGAGGCGGGGTGGGGTGGGGCGGGGTGGGGGTGGGGCGCCTTCTCCGGACAGCGCGGCGGCGGCCGGCGGGACCACTTCCCCTCTCCTGCCTTTAGGGCCTCCTTGTCTTCACACGCGGGGGCTTTTGACGCAGCGTCGCCGACAGACGTGGCCTTCATCTTTTTGCCCCTGCCGACGGATACCTTGCCGAACTACGGCTGCCCGCCGTCCCCGCCACCCCCGCCTCCCCGCCGCGCCACGCCGGTGGCCTTCTGATGGATGGTGGCTGATCCGGTGCGGCGCACAGCGACACAGTGGAAGGGTTGGCACGGCCTCGCCGCTCCGCGCCCGAGCACCATGAGCAACGCACCGCCAGCCCGTCACCCGGCGTATGATTCAGCACCAAGCAACCGCAACATTTCCACCACGGCCCTGCCAGGGCCTCGCCAGGGCCTCGCCAGGGCCCAGCCTCGCTGGTCGGCCCGCCGTCTTGGCCATGATGGGTGCTGGGCGAGCGGCGCGCGGTGGACACGCTCAAGGCCCTGACGGCCGTGACGCCCTCGGAGACGCTGTAGGCAATATCGAGGCGACGCCTCGGCGCCCTGCACCTGCGCCAGGGCTTCCAGGGCGTGCCCACCATCCATCTCGCCACCTGTACGCGGCGCGGCGGCCGGGGAAAAGGGGAACGGGGTAGACACGTTAGGTAACAATCTTGATAACGATTCCTGCAGCAGGGCCGCCGCCTGCCCTCCAGGATGACGATGACGACGACGAGCTTCTTCAGCCTAATCTAACCGATCTAACCCTGCCTTGCACCGCTGCCCCGCCGACCGGCCGGGCCCCGTCTGGAAAATGAAATGATCCCCTATTGCCCGTGATTACCTTTGGGAACCCCGCTCAGCAGCCGAGCCCGCCGAGCCGAGGCACTGATTCGAGGTGTAATTCTGCCCGTGGTGGAGGCGGGGGTGGGGGTAGGGGCGGGGGCCTGCGCAGCGCGCTGTGGAATTCATTCATGCAATCCTTGCAGTCCGCGGGGTGCTCTCTGTGGCCTCTGCGGCTATCGCCGGCCGCAATCCGATGGAAGAATAACACGGCCCGCTGCCGCCCTGGCCGCCCTGTTGCTGGCCCTGGCCGTGGCTGTGGCCGTGCCTGGCAGCGTGGCAGCGTGGTCGAGGCCCGGCGATCCGGCCGAGGGACTTAAGGGCTCAGCAGGGAGGGGGAGGCGCGGTGAGGGCGTACCGCGGTGAGGGCGTGGCGTACCAGGGCGTACCGCGGGGAGCGGGGCTGCCCTATCTTTGATGCCGCGCTCTCGAGGGGGACCCCGACACAGACACCGGCTAGTCTTTATCACCCTGCTGCCTGCCGGGCTGCGGGGGCGTTTCCCGCGACACTCTAAATCCCTACTTTTGTCATTTCTATGGATGTGTGTCCGTTTCTGTTGGCAGGAGCGTTCCTCGTGCCGTACTGCATCATGCTGCTGATTGGAGGCATTCCGCTGTTCTACATGGAGCTCGCCCTGGGCCAGTTCCACCGCAAGGGCTCCATCACCTGCTGGGGCCGCATCGTGCCCCTGTTTAAAGGTAGAAGACCTTGCCAGAAGACCGGTGGAGGCAGCCAAAACTCTAGACGCGTTTTGAGCTCGTGAGTCACTAAAGGGGCTTCGACTCGATCGTGTGACCCCACCAATGGATTCCACGTTCGGAGAGCAGTTCATTGGTGGGGTCACAGGATCGGTTCGAGTCCCGCTTAGCGACTCTGGAGTTCAAAACGCGTTCACAGTTTCGGCCGCCTCCACCGGTCCTCTGGCAAATCCACTGTGCAGCCCGCCCGGGCTGGAAGACGGGCTGGACGACGGAACGTAGCGGTGTCCTGGCATCGCGCAGCACGCGGAGGCCTCCCTCTCGGACATGTCGCGGCACCCTTTTCTGATTTTCCCCCACCCCACCCCGCCTCGCCCCGCCCCACCCGCCGCGCCCCACTCTGGCAAGGCTGCCGGGCCGGATGCGCGGCAAGGCCTTCCAATGTTCTGCAGGAACTCCAGACCAGGGTGAAGATGGAGAGGCGGTGGCGGCCGGGATTTGAGGCGGGGAAGGGAGGCGTGGCGGGAAGGGTGAGGTGGGTTGGGCGGGGCGGGGCGGGGCGGGGCGGGGCGGGGCGGGGCGGGGCGGGGAGCAGCAACAGCTGACCCGCGCGGACCATTATCGTTCCTCGGGCCTCCAGCCCCTCCAGCCCCTCCAGCCCCTCCAGCCCTTCCAGCGCCACCTCGCGGAAGGGCGGCCTTCCTTTCATTTCGTCATTTCGTCATTTCGGCCTGCGACTGCGACGCGACGCGGCGACGCGGCCACGGCGGAGTGGCCGATGATCGTTGCGAGGGACGACGCCGCGTCTGAAAGTCTCAATCGGCGGCCACGACTCGACAGGCATCGACGTGCCGAGCGGGCACTGCTTGACGTGCGCGCGTCAGACACGCGTCGTGCACGCGCCCTGTCGTCAACGCCGACACCACCAGCTCATCTCCGGCCTGCCGCTGCCTGCCGCACCGCCCCTCCCCCTCCCCCTTCGCGGTTGTGTTAAGGAAGAGCAGCTTTCTCGCTGGGATCTCGCGGTGTAAACACGGCGGCGGGCACGGCGAGGTGCCCTGGGCGGGCCGCTGTCTCGGTCGCGCCCCCTAATTCCTCCACTCATCCCGTCTCTCTCCGTCCACCCCTCCCCTCCCCCCGCGATCTGCTTGGGGAGGCTTCTGACGCGCCGGAAGCTTCCTCCCGTCCCACCCGCAGCCCATCCTGCCCCCCATGTTGGTGGTGGGCCGGAGCCCCGCTAGCCCTGCTGGCACTACCAGCGGCGGGACAGGGACCACTATAGAATTGATTTGAGATAAGTGAGGACCCCTTCCCTCTCCCTTTTCGTTCTCTCTCTTCCAGCGGGACCGCTCTGCGCCCACTTCCACGCTACGTATTCTCGCCTTATGCCCATTGTGCATTCTCTTTCCAATCCCAGGGCCCAGGGCCCAGGGCCTAGGACTGCCACATCCTCTCTCTCTCTCTCTCTCTCTCTCTCTCTCTCTCTCTCTCTCTCTCTCTCTCTCTCTCTCTCTCTCTCTCTCTCTCTCTCTCTCTCTCTCTCTCTCCCCCTCTCTCTCTCCCTCCTCGCCCCTTATACGCGCCCATTCTCTGCTGCCCTAGTCGTGTGTTCTGCCCATTTTTCTGGTTTACGGTTCGCTCAAGCGCCCAGCCCCAGCGCACCGCCGTGCCACCACGCCACCACACCACACCCTGGCCCGCATGCACTAGTGCCTTTCTCAGGCTGGGCCGGGCTGGGCTTGAAGGGGCGAGGCCTTCGTGACCGCCTTGCCATTCAGTTGCTGCAGCCACGGCAACAATTATTTTTCGCGAGAAAAAAAAGTGGAAAAGGTGCGACAAAAATGCGAAGACCGGTGTGCTGACCGTGTGGTGCCCGTGCTAGGAATCGGGTACGCCGTCGCGCTGATCGCCTTCTACGTCGACTTCTACTACAACGTGATCATCGCCTGGGCGCTGCGCTTCTTCTTCGCGTCCTTCACCTCGCTGCTGCCCTGGACCACGTGCGACAACCCCTGGAACACCCCGTACTGCAGGCCGGTACGCCATCCTCTCCACCTCTGCAGCGTGCGGCAGCGTGTGTCCCGTCAGGGTCTTGAGGGCGTTCTGCGTGTTGCAGCTGGAGCGCTCCATGTGGATGGGCGGGGAGGACGACGCCCTGAACGCCACCAACACCACCGCGGCCGCGGCCACGGCCACCACCCGCTACTTCCTGTCCACGACGTCCCCGGCCCCCACCACCGCCACGAACCGCACCGGCGACGACGCGCCCTCCATCCACTACACCTCCGCCGCCTCCGAGTACTTCAAGTGAGCAGAGCCACCACCGTGACTCCGGTAAGTCGGCCTCGACGGCGTCCTCCTCACCGGCCCCGTGTTGCAGCCGCGCCGTGCTGGAGCTGCAGCACTCCAACGGCATCCACGACCTGGGCAACATCAAGTGGGACATGGCGCTGTGCCTGTTGGCCGTCTACGTCATCTGCTACTTCAGCTTGTGGAAGGGCATCTCCACCTCCGGCAAGGTCAGTGCAACGCCACTGCTGACGGCGAGCCTCGGCGAGCGCCCGGGCGGCAGGCTTGCCGTCGCACACTCGGCGGGACTGCCTACCCGCCAGGCGCTCGCCGCGGAGCACCGCGGAGCGCACAGTGCACAGTGGGCCAGAAGACCGGTGGAGGCGGTCAAAAACCCGGACGCGCTTTGAGCTCCTCAGTCGCTAAATGGGACTCGAACCGACCGTCTGATGCCACCAGTGGAGGAATCCAATGGTGGGGTCACACGCTCGGTTCGAGTCCTGTACAGCTTGGCCACCGGTGCCGCTCTTCCGGTCCACTTCGCAGTGTCTAACGACGTTACTTTTTCCGCGTGGCAGGTGGTGTGGTTCACCGCGCTCTTCCCCTACGCCGTGCTCGCCATCCTGCTGGTGCGGGGCGTCACACTGCCGGGCTCCGCGGAGGGCATCAAGTACTACCTCAACCCCAACTTCTCGGCCATCACGAAACCGGAGGCAAGTGACTCGTTACCCCCTCCGGGGCTTAGCTACTCCAGACTCGCGGTGTGTGAGTGCGCGCGGCGTGCAGCCATGGTGCGGCCGAGGCGCCGTGAGGGCGATCGTAAAATAAAAGTAAAGGTGTGTCCCGTTTACCCCCTCCCTCTCGGCGTGACGGCGTGACGGCGCCCAGACACACCGGGCCACTTGTTGAGGTCGCTCGGCATGCGGGTCACGCCGCGGCCCGCCGAGGCCCGCCGCAGCGCGATGGATATTCCGTGTAAATCCACCCCCTCCCCCTCCCCCGGCCGTGGCCCGCGCCTCATATTTCCGAGGCGGCATACTTCATATTGCGAAAGTCGCCCGCGGCCACCGCTGCGAGTCGCTAGTCGTCGCGAGGGGATGCGAATGGCGGCCGAATGGCACAGTGCGACACTTTTGCATATGAATCCCGCCCTAAACGCTGTTTCCGCGCCGCCACTGCCAGTGGCGCTGCCGGTGGCGCTGCCGGTGGCGAGGACGAGGAGCCCCACAATGGGCCGCCCGGTGGAGCCAGCATTGTGCGCGGCCGCGCGGACGGCCGCCGTGCCGCCGTCATGGACCCATGGACGTGGACGGGAAGGCGACGCGCGCCAAACGCCGCCCGCCGTCTGCCGTCTGCGCCCCAAATCCAGCTGTACAGACGAGTTGCTTTCAATTTCGTCGGTGGGGTCGCAATAATTTTATGCTGCGGTTTTCCGGTTCTTCTGATCCGGAAAAGGCTGAAAACCGCGGTTCGCTGGGTCAAATAGGCCAGACCAGTTGGGTCAGGTTGGCCGAAGGGGGCGCTCTGTGTGAGCCTCGGGGGATTGACGGCGTCCCCTCTGCCTCCAGGTGTGGGTGGACGCCGCCACGCAGGTGTTCTTCTCTCTCGGACCGGGCTTCGGCGTGCTCCTGGCATACGCCTCCTACAACAAGTACCACAACAACGTATACCAGTGAGTCCCGACCCTTTGGAATATTAACCCGTGAAATACACGCCATCGTCTTACCATGACTCTCGTCTCAGGGACGCGCTGCTGACCAGCTTCATCAACTCGGCGACCAGCTTCGTGAGCGGCTTCGTCATCTTCTCGGTGCTTGGCTACATGTCGCTGGTGTCGGGCCGCAACATCCAGGACGTGGCGACCGAGGGCCCCGGCCTCGTGTTCATCGTGTACCCGGCCGCCATCTCCACCATGCCCGGCTCCATCTTCTGGGCCCTCATCTTCTTCATGATGCTGCTGACGCTGGGCCTGGACAGCTCGGTGGGTGGAGTCTCTCGCGGCGCGGCGTCTCGCCGCCCGGAGTAGCGCCGCCGAGGCTCGCCGCCGCCGCGCTGCGCGAGGGGTATCGCCGGGGGTGTTCACTTACCGCGCCTGTTGCTTTGTGTGGTTTGTCTGGCAGTTCGGCGGCTCCGAGGCCATCATCACGGCGCTCAGCGACGAGTTCCCCCTCATCGGCAGGCACCGGGAGATCTTCGTGCTGTGCCTCTTCACGCTGTACTTCATCGTGGGGCTGGCGTCCTGCTCACAGGCAAGTAGTGCAAAACTGCTTAGGCGTATTAGGCGCCACGCCTTGCTTCGAGATAAATTTTCTCAAAATTTTCTCTATATTGGCTCTAGATTGGCACTAAATGTGCTGTATATTGGCTCTAAATTTGCACCAAATTTGCTTTTTCCGACAGGGCGGCTTCTACTTCTTCCACCTGCTGGATAGGTACGCCGCGGGGTACTCCATGCTGTTCGCCGTGCTCTTCGAAACCATCGCCATTTCGTGGATTTACGGTGAGTGCAAACTGAAGTCCAAGACCAAAGGCGACGAACCCTCCAGGAAAGCCTTCTGGACTTTGTAACGAAATGATCGCTTTCCGCGGCGCAGGGACGCAGCGCTTCTGTGACGACATCAAGGACATGATCGGCTTCGCCCCCGGCATCTACTGGCGGTTCTGTTGGCGCTTCGCCGCGCCGCTGTTCCTTATGGTAGGCCGCGTCGGTGTCTGCCTTGCCCGGCTTCGCCCGCATCGGCCGCGCCACTGTCAAAACTTGGCTCTCGTTCCAGTTCATCATCGTGTACGGCCTGATCGGGTACGAGCCGCTGACGTACGAGGACTACATCTACCCGGCCTGGGCCAACGTGCTGGGCTGGCTGATTGCGGGCTCGAGCGTGGCGATGATCCCCGGCGTGGCGGCCTTCAAGCTCCTCACCACGCCGGGCACCTTCTGCCAGGTAGGCCGCGGAGCGCCGCGGAGGCGGAGCCCGGCGGAGCACAGTGGGTCAGAAGACCGGTGGAGGCGGCCAAAACTCTAGACGCGTTTTGAGCTCCAGAGTCGCTATATGGGCCTCGAATCGAACGTGTGACCCCACTAATAGATTGCTCTCCGAACGAGGAATCCATTGGTGGGGTCACACGTTCGTTTCGAATCCAGTTTAGCGACTCTGGAGCCCAAAACGCGTCAAGAGTTTTGGCCCCCTCTCCAGAGTGCGGAGGCGTCATTCACCTACAAAAGCAACTTGAACAGTCACTAACCTGCTCTCGTGCCCAGCGCATGCGGTACCTGACGACGCCGTGGCGCGACCACCAGATGGCGGTCAACGGCAGCCTGTCGCTGCCGCACGACGCGGTGGGGTCGTCGCCTGAGGAGGTGCGGCTGCGGCTCATGACGTGCGAGGCGGAGCCCGCCGAGCCAGAGGACGTCTAGGCGCGCCGCGAGGCGTCCCGGACGCGGCGTCCCATCGCCACCGGGAGTGCACCGAGCAGACGCGGCCAACCGGGTGGCCAATGTGACGACCAACTTGACGGCTAACTTGATGGCCAACTTGACGGCTAACTCGATGGCCAACTTGACGGCTAACTGGATGGCCAACTTGACGGCTAACTTGATGGCCAACTTGACGGCTAACTTGATGGCCAACTTGACGGCTAACTTGATGGCCAACTTGACGGCTAACTTGATGGCCAACTTGACGGCTTACTTGAGGGCCAACTTGACGGCCAGGATCGAGTCGATGCCGCGTGCTCGACACACTCGTTCGTTTAATCTGCTTCAGTAGCGCACCACACTCAGATTTTCGTTTCGCTTTTTGTGTTATATTTGTTGATTGAATACAGATACTTTAAGTGGTAGAACCAATAGCGTGTACCAATACTAGATGAAAGAATAGAACCTAGGAAAAAGTGCTAATGTGTACCTTTCGTCGTAGTTAGGCTAAAGTGCCGCTCGGCCTAGGCAGTGGCTACCGCAGATCGACAGCCTTGGTATCGTTGTAAAAAGTCGGTAGTGTTCACTTAGATTGTTACTATTGTTATTTATTTACGTAGAAATTGTCAGCTGGCTGTAAAAATAGATAAAAAACCTTCATTCCTGGAGACGGTTGGGATTACATCATTCCTCGGGAACGCCTACAGACAAAAATATTTTATTAGATTAGTACGTGTTAGTAAGTATTCACGACTTGCCCTGCGAGTCTATGCTGTGGAGCACCATAACTAGGATGTAATACTTGTAAAATATGCCCTATAGAAACTGATATTCACTGTTGGTATGTATCAAAAACATTTCTAGTGTTAAGACGGGCTAGCAGTTGCCTCATGCTTTCCAGTTCATTTTTGTGAGTGATATTATTTTAGTTTTGATACGCAACCGAAAGCGCACCAAACAGCCATTTGGTCGTTTTCGAAGACTGTTGCCTTTTACTTATATATTTTATATACGTTGTTGATTCACAGTGTGATGTTCCACATAGTTTTGTAAATAGAGTAGGCTCCTTGGAGCAGCGTCTGGAACGCGGAGCCAAGCACGCGCGGGCCAACAAGCCAACGCGGCCGTTTGTCAAACGTTCCGGCCAACTAGTCATTGCTAGTCATCGGCAGCCAAGGGTCCGCGGTGGGGACTGCCGGGCCCGCCTGGACCGCCTCTAGCCCGTAGTACCGAGTTATATAGTCATGTTGTTGATGTTTGTCGTAGACCTTTGCTCATTAAAAGAACATTGCCATTGTGTATTGATACTTTGATGTATAGTGGTTTAGCGTAAATTGTTCGGCCCTTCAGACCTGTCCCACACCACTTCAACGCTCCCTCGCAATTCATGTAACGAGGGGGCGTATGAACGTCCTGGGGTCGCGTCAAGGCCGGAGATTCGAATGTAGCGGTGGCCAATTTGTTACTTGTTTAGCTTGTTGTGCTTTCCTTTTTGTAATAAAATACCAAATACAAAAGGAGAACGAGGATTGCGTGTTCATTTTTTATACCTCGAGCGTTTACCCGAGCACCGGTATGACGCGGGCACCGGCGGGCACGCAGCGCGCCTGTGACCGGCTGCATAGGCAACCCGCATACCTCGGCGCGTGGCGGGACGGAGAACGAGTGTGTGAGAAAAAGACGAGCACGTTAATTGTAAATAATGGCTTTATTTTATAAAAGTCTTAACTTAACATCTATACAGTTTGTAAAAGTAAAAACAACGCCATTGCATCATTGCATCGTTGCGCCGACGCAACGGCGAACAAGTAAGTCTCACACTCATCCAGGCACTCACAGAGTCACGCGCACACTCAGACAGTCTCTCATACACTCACGCACACACTCTCACACGCAGGCTCTCAGTCACTCCCGAGTACAAAGTGCATCTGCATTTTGGTATCTGTACAGTGGGGTGTTTAAAAAAAAGTGCAAGAGAGCGGTTTGTGCGTTATAATACGTCTTCGTCAGTTCATATAGCTGGTACACACCCGTTGGCGTCCGTACGTGGACGGTACGAAGGGATTCGGGAAACAACAACTGGTTCCTCTTCGGCAATTTCGCTAAAAATGTACCAAAAAATCTTTCATAATAAAAAAATTAAAAACAAACGCAATGAAAAAAGTACATAGCCATTTTTCATGGCTCAACTCGCCGAAGATGAAAGTTGTTTTCCCGCATTGTAACATTATTAATTACTCTTGAGGTAACTACGTGAGAAGGGGCGCAGACAACGCCACGCCCCCTGAAAAGAATTAACAAGGAGCCTTAAAAATAATGTCAACTCCTTTCAGTCCGCTTGGTTGTGATGCTCCGCGAACTGAGACAACTCTTGTCCGGGCCGTGAGGGATTCGCCTATTCCTTTATTTTCGCGAGTCGTTGGAGGGCCGCGAGGCCGACCTTTGTCTTTGGCTGGTCTCTTTACACAGGCAAGTTCGTCTCTGGCACAGTGGAGCAATATCACTAACTAAATATACACATGGCGACGAGTCCAGTAATAATTCTGACTTGTAGTAAAAACACCGACGCGCTGGCGACGGCCATGCCGCGGCCACGCTGCGGCCGTACTGCAGCACCGCGCCGCGCTCAAGGAGTCCTTGGCGACCCACGGCCGGTCGGCGGCGCGGGCGGCACGCGCACCGCGACTTAGAAGCTCAGGTTGTGCCCTCTGAGGAAGGCGTCGATCTGCCCCGCGGCCAAGGCCGCCCTCTGGTCGCCGGCGTCCTGCGGCGACACGTAGTAGAACTGCGTCTGCGGGGCGCTGCTGTGGCCCGGGGCCGCGGCGTACTGCACGGGCTGCAACACAACGCACGCCGTCAAGGGCGGCACTTCGAGGCGCGGCAGCGCGTAGCCTGGCGTAGCCCAGTGGGCCAGGCGGTCCAAATCCCGGACGGGTTTTGAGCTCCAGAGAGTCGCCAAACGGGACTCGAACCGAATGTGTGACCCCACCAATGGATTACTCTCCGAATGAGGAATCCATTGGTGGGGTCACACGTTCGGTTCGAGTCCCATTTAGCGAATCTGGTACTCATAATGCGTTGGGAGCTTTGGCCGCCGGTGCGCGCCGGCGCCGGTCTTCTGGCCCACTGTGCGTTGGGTCGGCCACACTCACCTGGGCGGGATACCGCGCGGGGGCGGGCGCCAGCCTGACGGGGGCCGCGGTGGACGACACCTGCTGCAGCTGGGCGGGCTGGTAGCGCGGCGCCTGGTAGGCGCTGGCGGCACTGGCCTGCAGGGAGCGCTGGTGCTGCAGCTGCCTCTGCTGCTGCGCGAACAGCTGCTGGCTCTGCTGCAGGAGCGTCTGCTGCTGCTGCTGCACCAGCTGCTGCTGGTACAGGCTGCCGGGCTGCGGCTGCTGCTGCAGGAGCTGCGGGTGCGGCAGCTGCTGGGGAGCGAGCTGCTGCTGGGCGACGTAGGGCTGCAGGCGGTGTCGCTGGACCTGCGAGGAGACGCGAGTTCAGAGCCCGGCCGCTTTTAGTGTCATTTGCTTTCTCTCCGGGGCAGCACACTTACGGCGTTGATGTCCTGGGGCTGGGACTTGGGCAGCGACTGGTAGACCACGGTGTTGTACTGGCCGGACTGCGGGTCGAACACGAGCTCGGTGGAGTAGATGGGGTCGGAGCTCTTGATGCCGGTGCCGGGGCGCTCGGTGCTGGCCACCACGTTGTTGTCCAGCTGGAACTTGCGCAGCTCCTCGGAGAAGTCGATGGTGCCGGGCGTGCTGGAGCGGATGGGGGCGGCCGAGTAGGCCTTCAGCGGCGTGGGGCGGGGAGTCACGGACACCTGCTGCAGAGAGACACGAGCATGAGGCGGCGCGGGACGCGCGGGAGGAGGCCAACGGCCACGCCAACGGCCCGCACTCACGGCAAGGCGCGCCCAGCGGCCGGCAGACTGGTTCCCCGAGTCCCTTTCGTCGCTGTATCTCTCTCGCACCTATACGGCACGCCCCTTCACTGCGAGAGAGACAGAGCGACGAAAGCGACTCTCGGAATCAGTCTGCAGCGGCCATGTCCAGCATGCCATATTCTACATATTGACTGTCGTGCCCGACTGACCGCCACGGCGGCCGCCGCGCGGGTTCCCACAGCGTTGCGCAAAGCCCGCGAAGCGCCGCGCAGCCCGCAGCACACTCATTCCGAGTGTCGTTTTTGTCGCTCTGTCTCTCTCGCTCTTTTACGGGACGCCCCATGGGTGCGAGAGAGACAGAGCGACGAAAACGACTCTCGGAATGAGTCTGCTACGGACTAGCATCGCCACCGCCGCGAACTGCGTGCTGAAGTACGCCGCGCCGCGCCGCGCTACGCGACCCGGACGGATATACGAACCGACAGTCGCGCACGTTACGTGTTGCGTCATGCGGCGTTTCCGAAAAGTGGTCCAATTTCCACTCCAAACCGGTTATCGACACAACGTGTATCTGGAGCAGTGGCGTCGCGGGGCGGCGTGGCGTGGCGTGGCGTGACAAGCCGGCGGCGGCGGCCCGCTCCGCTATTACGGCTACTGCCGCCAATGCCCGCACGGCCGCGGGGCAGCGGTGCTAGATCGGCCAGCAGACTGATTCCGAGAGTCGCTTTCGTCGCTCTGTCCCCCTCGCACTCATGGGGCGTCCCGTATGGGCGCGAAAGAGACAGAGCGACGAAAGCGACCCTCGGGATCAGTCCGGATCAGTCCGCTGGGCGTCTCGTTCTAGGAAAAGCAGCGGCTGGCGGCGTTGGCCGCGCGCGGCCCGGCGCCTCACGGCGTGAGCCTCGCGGCCCCACACAGCGCGTTGCACCTCGCCCATCCCCGAGGCGAGGGTCATCGGTAGCGACGAAACAAACGTCCCGAGTGTGAAAGTTGAATCGCGCGTGGCGTGCGTGACCGCCGTGCCAAGCAGAAGCGGCCCGCTGCCCGCGGCGCCGCGGCGGCCGAGCAGCGGCCGGGGGTCTCTCTCGCAACACTCAGGGGGGCCGTGGGTGCGAGCGAGACAGGGCGATGGGGCACTGTTCGGACCCAGCCCCCCGGGTCCTGGGTCAAGCAACGTGGTGATGAGTCGGCGGTGCGTGGCGCTGCAGCCGTCAGCCAGCGTAGCGAGGACGTGCGGGGCTGCGGGGCGGCCGCGCCACTCCGAGGGCCCGTGTCGTCGCTCCGTCTCTGTCGCACTCATGGGCCGACCCGTGTTGGTGCGAGAGAGACAGAGCGATACCACGAGCTTTCGGAATCGCTCTGCAGGTGGGTCCTTAGCGCCTCGTGGGTCCCGCTCTGCCGCGCTCTGCTGACCGGTCGCAGACATTTACTTTCCGTACGTGCCGCAGCATCCAGGCCACTCACACTCACGCGACGCGCTCACGCACACGCACACACACATACACACACACACACACACACACACACACACTCACACTGACGCACGCACACGGCCATGATACAATGTCGCGCCGATCACGCCTCGCGCGTTACCACACACGGCGCATCGCTTGCACTTTCTCACGTGTGGGGATTTTTTTTGGCCGCGTTGGCTGACGGCCTGCCTGCTGGCCTGCCTGCTGGCCTGGCGGGGCGGCTGGGTCGGCCTCGACGCCGCGCCGCGCCGTTTTAATCGGAAAGCTGCGTGTTGTTTCGACACGAGGGTCGGCCTGGTCGGCCCATGCCCTACCTGCTGGGCCTGGGGGCGGTAGGTGGTCGCCGGCGGCTCGGCGGTGGTGCTGGAGTAGGGCCTGGGCGTGATGCGCACGGCGTGCGTGGGCGCCGGCGTGGTCGGGGACTGGTACTGCGGCGTCGTGGGCCTCTGGGTCGTCACGATGAGGCGGGGGCGGGCGGGGGACGGCGTGGGCGCGGGGGCGGGGGTGGGGCGCACCACGCGGGCGCGGGTGGGCACGGGTGCGGGCGGCAGGTCGTCGTCGTCGATGTCCTCCTCAGAGTCCTGGAAACAACAAAGAAGTTAGCGTGAGGGTGCAATGTTGTTGGTGGTGTCTCGGGATCCCCGGCAGCGAGGCCCACCTGGTTGTAGCTCTGCTGGAACAGGGTGGTGGCGGGGCGGGCGGGGCGGGCCGACAGGGTGGGGCGCAGGGAGCGGCTGGGGAAGTTGGCGGGGATGTTCTCCTCGCCGGAGTCGGCCTCGGCGTCCTTGGCGCCCGCCAGGGGCTCCTCCTCCTGCACGGCGTTGGGGTCGCAGGGGTTGCCGGACACGTAGGTGAACTCGCGCTTGTTGCCGTCGGGGTCCACGTAGCCGTACTTGCCGCGCACCACGCAGTCGGTGCCGCGCGTCTCCTCCTTGAAGCTGCCGTCCGCGGCCTCGTAGCCAAACGTGAAGGAGCCGTCATCGTTCACCTTGCTGTAGTTGCGGATGGTCTGGACGGGCGGGGCCTGCAACACCAGACGCAGTCAGCAGGGATGCCCCCGGACTGTACAGCAGCAACCAAGGCACGCGTTGTCGTGTTGGCTTGTCGCGCTTGTCGGCGTCCAGGAGCAGGGTGCACACTGCGGGGCGGCCGCTGCTGCACTGCAACAAGCACAGTAAAGCGCCCTCTGCCACGCCGCGCTGCGCCTCCGCGGACTCCGACGACTCCGACTCGTACTAACCTTGCCAGGGGCCCCGCTCTCGTTCTCGCCGGCCGGTCCGGCCGCCCCGGCTGCACTTGCCTTCGCGTGTTGCTCCTTGCCGGCGTGCGCCCTGGACGTGATGGCGGGCGACGCGTTGAGGGCGCGCGGCGAGGCGCGGTACACGGCGGCGTCCTCGGGCTGCAGGGCCTGCGCGCGCGTCACCGACCTGCCCGCGTACACGGACGGGCTGAGGCCGTTGAGGGCGTCGGCGGCGGGCAGCAGCACCACGCGCCCGGACCTGGTGTCGGCGCGGTCGTCGGGCGCCGCGTAGTACTGCACCTGCTGCGGGAGCCCGTCCTGGTCGGCGAGCTCCTCCTCGGCCTCCGCGGCCACGGGCCGCACTCGCGACACGCGCACGCGGCGCGCCTCGGACGCGGCCAGCAGCGCCAGCAGCGCCACCGCCACCTGCGCAAAACAAAACAGAAACGCATTTTAGCCTTACTCGGAGTGCGGCGGGGCGCGAGTCGAACCCGGGTCCTCCCTTTTTCTGTGAGTCTCGGCCGACAGATGCGCGGCGCGTTGCGTGGGCAGCGTGCGGCAGCGTGCCCCGCGGCGATGTAGGTCGCTTCGATTGGTGGCAGTCGTCAAGCTGAAGAAGAAGTGCGTCTGCGTTGTTACTTCACGGTGGACGCAGACACACGGCGGCCACGGCGGGCCTGCCTGGGGGATGCCTCGCTCCGCCTCGCCTCGCCGCGGGATGGCGCGGGATTGCCGCAGACTGACTTAGAACGTGCCGTTGCTCCGTCTCTCTCTCTTTCTCTCTCTCTTTCTCTCTCTCTTTCTCTCTCTCTCTCTCTCTCTCTCTCTCTCTCTCTCTCTCTCTCTCTTACCTACATGAGACGTTCCATGAGTGCGAGAGAGGCGGAGTGACGAACAGTGTGCCCGCCTGGTCCATCACGCCGCGAATGCGAGTCATAAGATCAGCCTCCCCCTTTTCCCATTCCTCCTCGACTGCACGGCATGGAGGCCCTGCTTCCCCTCGGCACGGCCTCGGCCTGCGCACAGTGTGCCACGCGGCGCCGCGCGGCCACGCGCCACGCCTGTCCCAAATAACAATTAGCCGCGCGGCGTGGCGAAAAGGACGCCAGATTTGCGACACGAGAAAAGTGGTGGCGAAAAAAAATTGCCGCGCGTGATATGGTGGCGGTTGGTATGGCGGCATGGCGGCGCGGCGGGCCGAGCTGAGCTGTCCGGTGCGCACCGCGGACTGCAGAGGTTTCCTCACGCCGTGATTATGAGTCGTGGACAGAGTGGTCTCGGCCTGGCCGGTCCACGCGCAGCGCGCAGCGCGCAGCCCCGACGCGCTCCCACGGGCCGCCGTCGCCGTCTCTTTCTCTCACACACGGCACGCCGCGGCACGCGGGCTGTTCGGCGTGCCCCGTGCCCAGCGGGCTCGTTCCGAACAGCCTCGTCGCCCTGTCCCTCTCGCACTCAGGGCGCGGCCGCGTGAGGCGCGAGAGAGACAGGGCGACGAGCCCGGCCTACATTCATATTCGCCGTGACGCACGCCGCGCCGCGTCACGCCGCCCCAATGACACGACGGTCGCAATTACCAGACATTTAAGCGTCGCGGCGTGATCCCGGCGGGCTGGAGGCTCTCCGCGCCGGTCTCTGCGTGCGTGTGGGTGAGCGTGCGCAGGGCTCTTGAGGCGTCTTGATCAGATTGGCCTCGCCTCAACACACGACCCACATGATTGCAGACATTGCCGCGAAGGGACACGCCGAGAGCGCCGTGCAGTGTAGGCAACCCACCGGCCGCCGTGCAGTGTAGGCAACACATCGGCCGCCGTGCAGTGTAGGCAACCCACCGGCTGCCGTGCGCGGCGGTACGGCCTGCCGCCCGGGCGCTCTCTCCCTGTCTCTGTCTTCCTGTCCACCCTGTGCAAGGGACTCTACACCGTGCCGTCCACTAACCAGGCGCGGCGGAGCGGCGGGGCAGTCGGGCTAAGCAGCTGAGCACAACTTCCCCGCTTCCGTCGCAGCCTTGGTCCCAGCAGAAGGCGACGGCACGGCTTGCGGGCCTTGCGGCACGGCCGGGCACGGCCCCGAACCAACAAACCAAACTGCCGCTAACTAAACGGCGGCGTCACGGTGGCGGGCAGGGAAATAATGCAGCAGGATTAGGCTTTAGGCGACGCGGCGGCGGCGCGGGAAGGAACAAAATGATGCAGCAGGCGGGGCGGGGCGCCATTTTCAGGTCGGCTGGGGACGGAACGCTTGAGGCGCATTCAGGGAAATGACGTGACATTTCGCCGTTGTTGGTTTGCTCATAAAAATGAGTCTGGGTCGCGAGACGCGGCGAGACGCGGCGGCGCGCGGCACAGCCGGTGAGTCGCTCCACCCCGTCCACTCCACTGGCGGGCTGCGTCGGCCACGCGCCGCTGGGGATGCTTTCGAAACGAGCGGGGCGTTAACCACTTCCAGAGAAGCGTCCCGGAAAAGAGCAGACGCGGCGGGGAATCCGAGATTTTGAACAAGCCCGCGCTGCTCCTCGGGCGCGCGGGCGCAGGAGCCGTCTAGCCACGGCCTTTTAGTGTTGCAACCAAGTTTATGTGCACTCTTTGTTTCCAGGGGCTCCGATCCAGCGGTGCAGAGAGAGTTCCACCCCAGGGAGCACACATGACACACGCGATGTATGAGCGCGAGACACACGGACCGGAAATAGAAGCAGGCAGAGACAGGCAGACAGTGAGACGGACAAACGGGCGGACGAAACGCACTATACCGCACTACGTTGCCCAGAGCAGTGCCCAGCGGCCCAGCAGACCACAAACCGAGAAGTAGAAGCCTGCTTTGCAGCGCCGCTCAAGCACACACACGCACGCACACGCACGCTCGGCCCATCGTGCGGTTGTACCATACCGACCGACGAGCATTACAGCCTCCACCGCTCCAGTCAGAGGTTCTAATACACGCCACACCGCAGCATTTCTTTCTTTCTTTGAAATGTTTCGCTGCTAAATGCCTCCCGTAGCTATGCAGTAACACACACACACACACACACACACACACACACACACACACACACTCTGCAAGACGTGTGACACAGTCGTCGTGGATGAGCCGATCGTCTGGACGACGGCCAGGACGGCCAGCGAGTGAAAGCACGAGCGCGTTGCACCCTGTCAAAACTTACGAGACCATCGTGCCAAAAAAGGGTAAACGTTCTTAAGATTCTTATGTGTCTAATGCGCAAATGTGCGTCACGCGCCAACCAACCCTCCCCGCCGACGACGTCAACTAGGCGTGGCGTGGCGTGGCGAGGTGTCAGCCACCGCCTTCATCACGAGCGTGGCGTGGCGTGGCGCTGCGTGTCGTGCCGCGACGTGCCGCGGCGTGGCGTGGCGTGGCGCTGCGTGTCGTGCCGCGACGTGCCGCGGCGTGGCGTGGCGTGGCGTGGCGCTGCGTGTCGTGCCGCGACGTGCCGCGGCGTGGCGTGGCGTGGCGCTGCGTGTCGTGCCGCGACGTGCCGCGGCGTGGCGTGGCGTGGCGTGGCGCTGCGTGTCGTGCCGCGACGTGCCGCGGCGTGGCGTGGCGTGGCGTGGCGCTGCGTGTCGTGCCGCGACGTGCCGCGGCGTGGCGTGGCGTGGCGTGGCGCTGCGTGTCGTGCCGCGACGTGCCGCGGCGTGGCGTGGCGTGGCGCTGCGTGTCGTGCCGCGACGTGCCGCGGCGTGGCGTGGCGTGGCGCTGCGTGTCGTGCCGCGACGTGCCGCGGCGTGGCGTAGCGTGGCGCTGCGTGTCGTGCCGCGACGTGCCGCGGCGTGGCGTAGCGTGGCGCTGCGTGTCGTGCCGCGACGTGCCGCGGCGTGGCGTAGCGTGGCGCTGCGTGTCGTGCCGCGACGTGCCGCGGCGTGGCGTAGCGTGGCGCTGCGTGTCGTGCCGCGACGTGCCGCGGCGTGGCGTAGCGTGGCGCTGCGTGTCGTGCCGCGACGTGCCGCGGCGTGGCGTAGCGTGGCGCTGCGTGTCGTGCCGCGACGTGCCGCGGCGTGGCGTAGCGTGGCGCTGCGTGTCGTGCCGCGACGTGCCGCGGCGTGGCGTAGCGTGGCGCTGCGTGTCGTGCCGCGACGTGCCGCGGCGTGGCGTAGCGTGGCGCTGCGTGTCGTGCCGCGACGTGCCGCGGCGTGGCGTAGCGTGGCGCTGCGTGTCGTGCCGCGACGTGCCGCGGCGTGGCGTAGCGTGGCGCTGCGTGTCGTGCCGCGACGTGCCGCGGCGTGGCGTAGCGTGGCGCTGCGTGTCGTGCCGCGACGTGCCGCGGCGTGGCGTGGCGTGGCGTGGCGCTGCGTGTCGTGCCGCGACGTGCCGCGACGTGCCGCGGCGTGGCGTGGCGTGGCGCTGCGTGTCGTGCCGCGACGTGCCGCGGCGTGGCGTGGCGTGGCGCTGCGTGTCGTGCCGCGACGTGCCGCGGCGTGGCGTAGCGTGGCGCTGCGTGTCGTGCCGCGACGTGCCGCGGCGTGGCGTGGCGTGGCGTGGCGCTGCGTGTCGTGCCGCGACGTGCCGCGGCGTGGCGTGGCGTGGCGCTGCGTGTCGTGCCGCGACGTGCCGCGGCGTGGCGTGGCGTGGCGTGGCGCTGCGTGTCGTGCCGCGACGTGCCGCGGCGTGGCGTAGCGTGGCGCTGCGTGTCGTGCCGCGACGTGCCGCGGCGTGGCGTGGCGTGGCGTGGCGCTGCGTGTCGTGCCGCGACGTGCCGCGGCGTGGCGTGGCGTGGCGCTGCGTGTCGTGCCGCGACGTGCCGCGGCGTGGCGTGGCGTGGCGTGGCGCTGCGTGTCGTGCCGCGACGTGCCGCGGCGTGGCGTGGCGTGGCGCTGCGTGTCGTGCCGCGACGTGCCGCGGCGTGGCGTGGCGTGGCGCTGCGTGTCGTGCCGCGACGTGCCGCGGCGTGGCGTGGCGTGGCGTGGCGTGGCGTGGCGCTGCGTGTCGTGCCGCGACGTGCCGCGGCGTGGCGTGGCGTGGCGTGGCGCTGCGTGTCGTGCCGCGACGTGCCGCGGCGTGGCGTGGCGTGGCGCTGCGTGTCGTGCCGCGACGTGCCGCGGCGTGGCGTGGCGTGGCGCTGCGTGTCGTGCCGCGACGTGCCGCGGCGTGGCGTAGCGTGGCGCTGCGTGTCGTGCCGCGACGTGCCGCGGCGTGGCGTGGCGTGGCGTGGCGCTGCGTGTCGTGCCGCGACGTGCCGCGGC